TTCTGATTCGTGATTTTAATTGTTTTTAGCAAATCAAAAATTTAATACGACTTGCAGTTCCTTAAAACTTTGGTTATTTTCACTTTAAATATAATTTTTTTCTGAAATGAAAGTTTAAACTATTTCGAATTAATTTTTTTGTATTGATCCTTTGGATCTATATCTTAATTATAATTTAATGATTGGTCCTTGGCTCTACGAATAAATTTTATCTCGATATCTAATTTTCGTTTTCCATATTCATTAAAAGATTGTGGACCATTTCAAAATGAATTATCGAAATGCTTCAGTTATATGAACCTCGCCGATAGCTCTGAAGTGGTTGACTGACCTCAACTAAAGGTCTCCAGATATCCTCTAAATCTAGATTAAGATACAAAGCGAACATGCATTAACTGGGTGTTGGAAGAAAAAGAAATGGTCCAACTGTCCGAAAGGGCCGCCAGTGTACATCAGGAGGTCCTAGGTGGCGCGCGTTCCAATGCAATGCAACAACAATGAGAAATGCGATGTTTTTCTAAACCTATTATTTCAAACTGGAATAAAATGATTTTTAATTTAATTATTTATAATCAATATGAGATATTTAGAGGGCTAAGGCATTATTGTGCTCATAATCACAATCAGTATAAGGGAATTAATTAAAATATTATATTATAGCAAAAAGATAAATGAACTTTAAAAGGAACTTTTCATTAATTTAATTAATTCTTTGCTGATTCCATTTACTTATGCAAATAAACTATTATCAATTTACATATTTACAATTTGCAAGTCGTTTAGGCTTCATAATAAAACTGTTTTTCTCTTTCTTATTGTGGAGCCATCGCGATCGTGTTCCAATATTTGAATATTCAATATTTTTTGTTGTTTATAACGTTTATCTCGTTCATCCATTTCTCATTTGCTTTTAAAATATTGTAAGCCTTTGGTTTTATTTTATATTGAACATTATTGTTTTTTCTCATCGTTGTTGTATTATTATTGGTTTAATTACCCAAGTTTGAGAATAAAATTTCTATATTAATACGTGCAGTGAATAATATTACTGGTATTGTCCTGATAAAGCCGTCGGATCAAGTATTTTCTAAAATATTAACATGTCGCAGTCGAGCATCATTCCACTGCAGTCATTTAATACAACCCAATGACGCTCTTTAATTGATTTTGCCACCGTTTTCGATTTAAGAGAGAGGCAATCAAGAGAATGATAAATATAGAAGTGAAGGAAAAGACAGAATTCCAAATAAATTAACTGACATAATAATCAAGAAACGAAAGAAAATCTTACCCCATTTTTTCGTTAATTATTTTTTGCATTATACGAGTAAATAAAGCTAAAATTCCATCCCAGTGTGAAAATTTTCAAAAAAAAAGATGCTGCTGTAATTTGAAGCTCCGGAGCTTTTCGGCTTATTGGCTAAGATCAAAATGCAGTTATAATTGTGGGATGCAAAAACAAGTTCAAATTGCAATAAACCCTTTACTCTTCCGATGACGGTCTTTCAACGAAGCCCTCTGAAAAGGCTGGCTTATCTTATTTCAATCTCCTAGTCCTCTAGTAAAGGATTCAAGGTTAAGGGTGACCCACACCACCCATAGGGGATGAGAAAAGAACTAAATATATTTATACATAAAGTACTGGTACAGCATAGTGGTTATGGTGGGCAACTGTTATGGAACAACAATAGTTCAGTTAATCGCAGCTAAGCTCTTTTATCTTTCCGGTAGAATCGTTAGGTAAGACTCTTTAAAAGCTTGTGCCTGAACTTGCCACAAATATGACCATGTCGCACGCAACTTGCTCGAACTCCAGATTAACAAAGTCCGCGCCAGATGCTAAGGAATCTAAAAATAAGTGGCCTACTGGAACGAAAATCTTATGCACGAAAATAACCTGGAATTGATGGAGACAAAATAACCTGGAATTGATGGAATGCTACTATAATAGATCTAAATGAAATATGTTATATGAAACGTATGAAGAAACTGTGGATGAAAAAGATCTAAGATCTATTTGCTAAACATTAAGAAACAGAGAAGCAACTAGTAGCTCAACGTTTCAATATATAGAAAAGGAAGGTAGAGATGGATCAATTCTGCACAACATCTCGGACCCAAAGTGATCCGAAAGAAGAGGAAAGAAGGGATATGCATGCCGGAAATTGGCTTCCAACATCTTCACTGCAAAGCGTTAAAAAATCATAAATAAACTGATCATGATTAACTATGGAGAGTGATTATTGAATCTCAGTGAAGTACCAGATATAATATGTTTCAAGATACGAAGAGATTTCTCGCAATAATTCCTACTGCCACTGTACAAGTAACCAATGAATTTGTGTACGCCACAGCCACTGTACAAGTAACCAATGAATTTGTGTATGCCACAGCCACTGTATTTATGAGATATCAAGAATAACAATGGAATCCATCCCTGGAAAAAGAGTGGAAAATAAGATCAGAGCATTAGAAATTAATCAGCAATATAATTAAACAAAAATTAAAAATAAACTGCTGATAATGGAAAAATACAAGGGCTAAACTCAATAGAAGCCTTTGAAACTGCTAAATAAATATTTCCAGCGGTGACCACCAGACTAAGGAATACACTAGAAAAGCACAGGCCAAAAAGACGAATGCCTTTTTCTCCAACCGTCCAATGTGTATTCTACAACAATATAACATCAGAATCACCAAAACCATCAGAACCATCAGCAGAAACTACTCAATAATAGAAAAATATAAATATATGAAAATATATAAATATATATATATATAAATATAAAAATATATGGAAGAAAAAGGTTCATAAGACTAATGGCTAACTTGAAAATAAGAATTTCCCAAAGCAGGGATCATTTACCATCACAGTTGCTAAAATACAATAAGACTCAAAGACATAAAAGGCTGCACAGTACCTGATCCGAACATGATCAACACCACCCTACCGGCTGAAGAAGCTAATAGAGATTAATAAGCTTTTAGAAACACAAATGAACCAGTTGCTTGTGGTAGCTCTCACCTATACTGGTTAATACAAGGATGATACTGATCATGAAAGACCTTCACAAGAGACAATAATTTACCTCTCGACAATATGAAAAGTTCTATCAGGTGCCATCAAGCTTTATGACCAGTACATGTAGAGTTCAAAAACGCATTGAACAACACTAGAGGCTTCAAAAACCAATTGTTCACAGAGAGGGTTCAAGGATTAAAATCCCGTGCACAGTTTGGACTGACTATAGGAAAGCCTACGACTCAATGCTCCACATATAGATCTATTAATGCCTGACTCTCTATAAAGGCAACAGAGTCCTAAAGACGTTCATCTCAACGGAACTATGGAAAATGATACTTGAAATCAACTCATAATAAATGGCTATCAATATGATATATTGCCTCTTATATATAGTCCCTCCCTCATCTAGACAATCATAAGACATGAACGTTGTTGAGCTGAAAAGCGGAACTACTATCAGTCATCTTCTTTACATGGATAATGAAAAATATATGTTAAAAGTAAACGAGATTGACTCTCTCATTCATTCAATACAAAGCATGGAGATGTTGTTCAGATTGCAGAAGTGTGGATGAAAAAAAGAGAGTTAAGATTGATGGGCTGTCAGTAGAACGTATAGCAGACATATAGACTAGCTAGAAACATCTTGGTGGCGATACCACAACCTTATAGAGACTAGGATGAAGTGGCGAGAAGTGTTACAATATCTAAGTACTAGGATAAAATAGAATGAAGAACCAGCTCAATCAGAAAAACAAACATATACGCCCGCGCCATAAACATATACGCCCTCTCATTAGCTGCTCAACTGGCACGGTAAGATGAAGAAAAGAAACATAGAGGCTGCCGATGTAAACCCCGACACCACGAAATTCCTCACAATACCTCATTCCAAAATTCCTCATCACGGAAATTCCCAAGTCCAAGACCCAAAGGCTTCACCAAAGTACATTACCAGGAAAGAAGGCAGGTGTAGTTTGCTGAGTGAAATCCATTCCCTAAGCCTAAGCCCAGTTAACCTGTCGTCCTAACTCCTTTCCCAACAGAAGCCTAAAATGGCCAAAAATGATCTTTCGGGAGCTTATATTCGATTTCAGATGGGCGGAAAGATTTATGGTTTTTTTATTCTCTCTATTATTTTTCTCCTTATTATTTTTATTCTAAAAATAATATCTATATTGTACCTCTCACTTATGAGGTACTTATTCTGTGATATTTTCTAATATCTTCTCCAACTCTTCTTTTCTTCCTTATTTCATTAATTCTATTCCTGGGCGTATGTGCGATGCAGATGACCTGCTCATATTTGCAGCTTTCTTCGCCATTAATATAGTTCGACTATACATATTGATATTATTTACATAGTATTTATATAATACTTCTCGAAATCTCTACAAGTCTCGATAGGTTTTTTAAAGTTTCTTTTCCGTTTCTTTTCCTTTAATTTAATTTTTTAAAATTTTTCTGCTTTTACTTTTTCCTTCTCAAACTTTACCAACTTTTCTTCGACAGAAATAAACATGAAATGATATCAAAAATCTGGATAGCTTCTGAACCATTTGTAAGCCTATCTATAAGTGAATCTAAGGTGAAAGATTTCCTTAACACAGCGTTATATATGATCATTTAAATTAATTAATAAACTATAAACTATAATAAACTAATAAATTTAATTCAGTGGGTGAAAAATAAGAAATTCTGCCAAAAAATTAAGCCAACATCATTCGATGTAGAAAAAAAGAATGAAAAAGCACAATAAATATTTATTTGAATTTAAGCTTCACATAATACTGCTACTATTACCAAAATATTAATATTAAAATTTCGCAGTTTTCTAACTACAAATTAGAAATCAAAAGCATTAACAAATAATGAATTAACTTCCCAGTTGAATTTAATACAAAAAGAATAAAATAAATGTTTTCATATAATATAAAATGTATAATATCTTAAATATAATGAAAGTTTAGCTCCATTATGTACTCCATTTCGATGAGATTCCAAATGCACGCAACTGGAATATTTAGAGTTATTTTTTATAAATATATTGTCAGTTTTTCTTTTTTCTTCCTCTGGCAATATTCCTAGCAGAAGCAGAACTTCCACCGGCGCTCCGAAATGAGAGTAACAACCCATTGAGCCATTCTATGGATCCCACGATAATTGATCTCAATATACTGACCACTGATACCCTTCACTGCCACTCAGTTAGGATCTCTAATGGTTTAAATAACTAATATATTTATATATTTATTAAATTATTCATATTATTACACGATTTTCACTCTAAATAATAGGTTCAACAAGGATTTTGTTCATTATGCAATATGAAAACAATAGTCACCTTACCTGATCGCTATTCAGAAGTAAATCAACATGAATTATCCGAAAAGCGGTATCACGACAATCACGCATCGCTAAATGATAGCGTAAGGCCTGCAAAGGAAAAATTACGAAAGATTACCATAATTTAATTTTCAACAACTAAATCCACTTTTTTTATCTTCTTTCCATTTTTATTCTATAGCCTACAGCAGATCAATTTATTATTAAATTGTCGCCAAAACTTTTATACCGCTTTTATTGCTTCTCACTTAAATTTAAAGAGACACAGGCTGTAAATAAGAGAAATGAAAACTTTCGATTTGTGAAAGCAACAAAACGGAGCGAGGATGGCCGAGGAATATGTTTAACTAAAGTCAAGCAATATCAAATTCTAGGAGAAGAAAAAAGCAACTTTGCTCTAATTAGCACAAAAATCGGCGTTTTATGAATCGGTAAATCGGAAAAATTCTTGATTTGAATTCAGCACAATACGATCAATTGATGGATTTCAAAAAAAAACCCAACATCATCGATGTTATTCCATTTTAATGAATCAGTCATCTTCATTTTTAAATCGGTTAATCTGCCCTCATATTCATTCAATTTTTCGACGGCTTGTTGACACATCATTGCTTCAATATTTTTTCCTTCCTGCAGTAATACTCGTAAATAATCGAGAATACCACAAATCATAATAAAATTAAATCAAAAATAGGTGCAAACTCTACTGAGGATTGAGGATGATTCGAGTTCGAATCAATCAATGCCTCGTTTCATCAAAAAAGCAAAAAGGAAAAGAATGGCGTAGCGAGTTTTTACCAAATGCTGAGGTTTCACTCGGCAGAATTATTCTGCCCTTCAAAAACTCGGTTGATGCTGCGACTTACCTGTACTTCTATTGCCAAGAAAACCCATTCGGTCCAATAAGCCAGCGGAACGAGCCTAACTAACAATGGTGAGGGCCCTCAGAAACAATCAAAATCTGATCAAAAATCTGATCTCTAATATCAAAGATTTCAACAAGTTTGAAGTTCTAAAATATCGATCATAATTAGAGACGGTAACCGAGTCGCTGTTTCAAATTATTGTCTCAAGGACCTTGCAAGGAGATCTAATCCTTCTACTAATTCAGAATAGGTGAAAATTTAACGAAAATTTCTTATAGCTCCAATATTCAGTGGACCTTACAAGAAGTGGTGGGCGCTAACCAGTTGCTTACTTTGATCAATCAAAATAAATAATAAGTGCTATTTAGATCAAAAATTTTGTACGTAATGCAATAAAAGTAAGAATATTCAAGTTTCATTAAACACTTCCATTTCATAAAATAAAGCTCAATAATTAGTAAACGCGGATTTGATCTCCTAATGTTTTAATTACTCCCTAATAACTAATTTTTTTTCTAGCACTCATTATTTCTGGTTTCGCTCACCCATTATCAAAAGTGAAACACTTCCACCAGATAACCACTTTGAGAAGGAAGTAGGCGTCATCAGGTGGACTTGACAAAATTTGTTTAGCAGGAGGAGAATACCGAAACGCGATAATTGAAACCGATACTGATAGTCTAACATATATTAATACAGCATTTGCCACACTTTCTCCAGTGGTTCATTTCAATATATTACCACGAAAAACATTAATCATTCAACATTACTTAATTTTATTTAATTTCTTTGGTCTTCTTCTTCCCATTTCCAACGGAGCGATTTTCTAAGATAATTATTCTATGCTTTCTAAGAAGCTGCATGATTATTATATAAAAGTTTTATTCTTTTATTCATTTCTTACCTCTATAGCCTTTTCCTGTCTCTCAGCCAAGATATTTCGTAAAGTTCGCAAACATACGAGAGGTTCATCGCCAAGCAAATCACCTCGCGATATCATTCCTTCCATTTCTCTCAAAAAATTTTATTGGCTCAGAGCGCCTATGCTGGGGTCACGCAGGAGTAGACCTGTTTTTCCAGGAAAATACGGGTGACGCTGGTGACCCATATATGCTTTTAACGCCAAGTGACTCCCTGGCGAAATTTCTCCATTCCGAAGCCTAATGGTGAGCGTTCTTTAGAAAAATGCTAATTTAATAAGGATCATCTCAAATGCATTAATATCAGTGCTACGAAATTTAAACTTTTACTAAATTTTTCAAATCTCCATGAACATATTTTTGATAAAAAATTTTTTTTAAGTGCAGTGTGAATGACAACTAACAAACAAAAAACTTAAAAATCTGATTCTTAGCAAAAATTAATTACATTATTGATTTGTTATCTGATATAATGGATAATAAAGAATTTGCGTTCTTCGACGAGCTTGAATTACCAATTGAGATTCTACGCTGGTCTACGGTCGGCCTACTCGAACCACTTGATCGCATCGTCAAGTCCATGCAATTATCTTCTTTTTGAATTAGATATCCATAAACAGCAATCGATTTAAAGCCAACCTTTAATGTTTGATGTTTCAATAATATTTCAACAAATGGGCAGAATCGATAAATCGACTGAGGGCCAACAAACAGTGGCTGCGGCCACTTCGATTTTTTGTATTTAACGATGGGTTGAGCCGGGGATTAAATAAATTTGCTAGTTAATATTAATGGTTTATTTATCGTAATTTCGTTGGTTCTTGTTTAAGCTATTTTGTACTATACTGTGATGTAATATCGTTAACTAATTTTATTGTTATGATTATATTGTTATCCAAATAAAGGTTTAATTAAAGGTCCCCAATTTTGAGGTACAACGGACGATTGATTGATTTCGATATTTCTCGATATCAGTTGATTACTTTTTTAACGAAAAGGGATCCCGTATTGAACCCGAAGAGATTTTATCAAGAAGAGATAAAATGTTGCAGTATCCTTAAGAACGAAATTCTTTTTCTTCTAACAGTTCTCACCATTATTGTTTAGGCTGGCTCCGTTGGCTACAAGAGTAAGATGAACGAAATAGCACAAAGCATTTTTGAAAAATTAGTTGATGAAAAAAAAAATTACTTGTTTTCTTGGATTATTTTGAATTTCATGAGGTTCATCAACGATTAGCTTTATAAATTTCCCACATGCATTTGTAAATAATGTTCGAGATTCGACGTCTGCTTCCACTCTTGTTCGCGGGGAAAAGATTAAAGATCCACAGTTTTGATACGTTGGCTAAAAATTTGCGAAATACAAGTTTTTTTTTGATTTCTTCAAGCAATTAAATCCAGTTCAGCATATTGACTAATAAATACAGAGTTAAGACTCGATATTTCGTGCAAAAATGTAGTGACTGAACTACTTGATAGAAACTACGGCCATGGAAGATTTGTCTGGAATGCAACAACGCTGATGCTGTAAATCGTTCGCCAGACTTTGTCTGTTCGATTAAAACATCCACCTTTTTTGCTGAAATTTACAAGAAATGACATTTAATTACTACTTCGGACGCTAACGATATGTTAAAGGAGCAAAATTTTAAAATTTAGTATGGTCGCAGGCTACAAGTACTATCCATTGAAGACCATTTTAATTGTAATTTGTTTGGAAATTTCCAAAATGGCCAAGTATTGAGTCTGGTCACTGGTCATTGTATTCAGAAAAGAGCAAGCAAGCACTTACGAATATGTTCATCTACAGCTTCGATCACTATTTTGTAAATTTTAGCGTATTCGATCAACATTAGAATTATTTCCAGAGGATAGCTCGTTCTGAATCAATCAGTTTACATAAGTTCTGATTTTCGGTAAAAAAATACTCAAGCGTTATTTTGTCGTAATGCTAAATAGAAAAAAAGAACCAAAGCAATAGATTCTTCCACACCGGTGAGGATAGTACATCGCCTAAGACTTTTGGTACGTTCGGGAATCAGTTGACAGATTTGAAAGGATCGATTGAATAAGTAATTTGGAATCGTGATCGATTTAAAACACTCGAGAAAAATTCCACGTGAGGATTTAAGAGAATTTAAGAAAAATAATAAGAATCCCCATTCCCTGAAAAATTTAGCCCAATCTCTGGATAGAATAATTTAATACTATTTCGCAATAGCCCAAATACTTTATATATATATTTGAAAACTATAGTGGTTTCCAAGCAGTTTCGGCAAAAGATAATCATGACCTACTTTTCTTCAGAAATCCAGTCTTTTGAGTTGGTGAAGCAGTTCTGGAATTCACGAGGACTTTTGGTACCTACTTGCGCAGCTTTCCATGGAATTCGCACTATCTTTGATCCAGATGTAGATATCATTTTATTTCTATCTGAAGATGAATGTTAGATAAATCGAATTTTATCTCTAAATCAATCAGATATAGCACGCGTGGAATGAAAACAGCTCATAAATCATTCATCCGATTAACCAAATTTCCGGCTTAAATTGAAGTAACTTTTTGTTATTTCCGATAAGACAAAGTACGTAAAATGGCAGATCATAATAGATTCAATTTTTGGTTTTTGACAGGAGTTTATGGTTTCTGTCAATTGGAGAAAAAGATGAAGATTTCATTCTCGGAATCTTTCCATATTTTCTCATGTAAAATCGAGATAAAGCTCCCACTCTAGGTACCAGCAAAACCAGTCAAATATATTAATAGAAATATATGAAACGAGAACCAATCGTAAAAATGAGAAATCATATAAGATGAAGAAAAAATTAAATCACCTCCAAATTTCACCAAAAATATGTTGAATATATAGATTTAATATACTCATCCCCAGTAAGAAATCATAGCGATTGTTCATATGCCATTAGCGTTGCTATACAACTTTAATGGTCCTATCCTCTAAATTATTTCAGGATAAAAATTTTGGAAGCAATCGATCAAATCAATTCTAAGAAGGAAAAATTGCAGTATGCATTCAAATTAATTTAAACAATTCTAATAAGCTTCTTTTTCTCCTTCTTCTAACAGCTTTTATCATAGTTAAACTGGCTCCGCTAGCTATAAGGGTAAGACATCTCCAAGCTTCGATCCGACCCTACGTGATAGTAATAGAAGTCATTCCTTTTTCCATTAAATAAGTCCATATATTGCTGGTCCACTAGTGTATTCAAAATCTTTTCTAACCATATCAGTCACAATCTTGACTGGTCTTCCCCGTTTATGATGCCAACAGGGTTCGGCAAGTAGCGAAACATGCGTTAACTCTTGTGGTGCCCTAACCAGCGAAAGCCGCGCTCTATGATAGCATTATTAATACAGGCGGTATTTGAGCGAAGATGTATACAATCATGTGAGATTTTGTCCACTAAAGGACCCGTAAAATATATCATAGACATGAGTGGTCAAAGGCTAATAGCTTCTTCCACTTTCTTAACTAGCCATCTGGGATTAGAGTGGATCCAAGGCATTCAAAATCAAGCTCTTCCCCAACCGGCAAAAGATAGGTATTTTATCAACATCTCGTATATATGTATCGTTATATCGTTATATTTTATTTACCCTGAGTCCGATTCTTACTGCAGTTGCTAACACGTTATTTAGCATTATTAAACATTATTTGCATTTCCCTCACAACTGCCCAGCAAAAAAGACTACATCATCAGCGTATTCAAGGTCTGTGATACTATGGTTTGGATTTGCACACTTCTTGATTATCTAGTCTATCGCATAGTTGAATATGGTAGTGGAAAGGACTCATTCTTGACGGACACACGTTTCTATTTTGAAAGGATCAGTCAGTTCCTCATAGAAAGATCTGTGCCAAGATATATTGATAAAATACCTTTATGAGCCAAATGATCTTCTCTAGTGCACCGTTACATTCCATCAGTTTCCAGTGCGCTGGTCTATCGAATCGAAGGCAGCTGCAAAGTCGATGAAATAAGTGACGGTGGGTTGCTGGTATTTAAAACGTTGTTCCAGCACCCTTCCTAACGTACGAATCTGGCCAACACGACCTCGTCCTGGTCTGAACGCAGTTTGATTAGGACGCATTCTGGCATCTCGTATCGCCTTAAATTTAGGCAGAAAGGAAGCGAAAATTTTTTCGAAGATGTCTAACAGGTTGATTCCTTAATAATTGCAGTTCGTCTTGTTTATAAGAATTGAAAGCAAAAATTGCTTTACTCCAGTTTTCTAGCATTAGTTCTTTTTGCCATACCAGAGGCACATTTGTTGAATATGAGTTATGATTAATATTATTAAGGTTAAGGTGAGTTACGATGATAGACATCATTTGAAGAGTTCGGCCCAAAAATTATCTTCACCGGGAATTTTATTGGCCTTAATCTTATGGATTATAGAGAATATTTCCTCTTTTGTTGGCGATTCGCATTTGCAAACGTATGGTTCAGTGGGCGATCAATTATATCTGAGACAATAGATGGCGCATCGTGGTTTAACTTACCTCGATAGCCTCAAAAAATTCATTTCATTTTATAAGGCGATCCTTAATAGCCTTAGCATGCGCCCCATTAATATCCCGTTTCATCATTTCAGTGGCCCCTTCTCGAGTTATGCTTTGAGAAGACGAAATAGTTTTCTATTATCACCCAACCATCGCCATTCTAAAGGCCTTATCGCTCCAATACCGCGACTTCTTTCCCGCCATGCTGTGGTTGTAATTTTTCGAAGCATCCGATAGTCAAGATCTCTTAATGTCCTCCTGATGCACTTTGGAGGCCTCATCTTCGATAGTTGGATTGTTGCTTCCGATACCCAACCAGCGCAGTTTTCTACTAGCATATTAACCTAGACTGGAAGGGGCTTACTTTCGAAGACATACCTTTATTTCGAATCGGTATCCATTTGCTGTTTCGCAGAGAACTCGCTTATGTTCGTTTCATTAAGATGCTTAGCTAATTTCGTTTGAAATGCACTTGTCTCCGATTCTTTTAAACTGAGATAAATCCTGAGAGTGAGAACCTGTTTCTCGCGAGTCGGTAGTTTTATGCGCATCTTGGCTCAAATCATAGGATGGTCTGATCCATGAAGTTTGCTCGTTTCATCGCCATGATACGATATTTAATACGGAACTCTTCCAAGGTCGATTGATTAGGATATGGTCGTTCTCATTGTTGGTTATCGTGGGGAATTGCAAGTGACTAAATGTCTTCTTCCATATCGGAAGCATATATTAGTAAACAAAAAAGTTGAAGCGAAGACGTTCCCCATTGGCGCATTGGCACCGGTACCATATTTGCTAATTAATCATAACGGCATAACCTATGTGCGCATTCCATTTTCCCGCGATTATAACCATATTACCTCTTGGTGATATGGTTAATAGTTGAAGCTTCGCCTAGAACTTCAAATTATCGCTTTTCAGGCATGGCAATTATGCTACGCCATTTCGCCTCCAAGTTATCCGAGGCACCATGATGACATAATAAGAATTTTTCCTCAAAAATCAGATTTAATAAAGCCGAAATGAGGGCGACTGATCTTCGACAAACAAGCCACATACATATGATATTTAGAAAGAGTGATTGCTCGGCTTACAATGTCCATAAGCTCTGACGTTCCTAGCAGCTACACATTTAACCAGCACTTCGCCGCGCTTACAAATCGTTAACGATAGATTTTCGTCTCCCTTGACAGTAATTATTCCGAATCGTGAGCTTACCCTACCCTCAAGCCTTGGAATTACTTTACTATTATTATTACGTCCGGACAATATATTTATCGCATTTATCACCGGGTTAGAAGTATCATACGCGTCAAAAGACACGGGCACTGCGACAATGAATCACTTGGGGATAGAGATACAGATGGATTCTCCAACCACCCGAATTTTTAATACCGTGATAGGTTCACTCCTGTCAAAGATTTCTTTAATCAATCGCGAATCAAAACCGTGCCTTCAGCTGGAGCAACATAGCAAGTTGAGGACATTAGCAACAATGGAATATTTTTATCCAAATGCAAAAAAAGGATTTACAATCGTTTATACTTTAATATATATAAATGTTCAATTCCACAACGTCTTTCACACACAATCTCACCACGCAATCGAGGATTAATATTTAGAAGATAAGGAATATCATTGCTATGTAAAGCTACAATATAAAATAATCCATGCGAGGTCAACAGATCGGGGACAATCGGTAAAAGACGTTCGAGTGTTTTCCGGCCGGTTGAACCACCAGACCAGCAGCGTACCTTAAAAAACTTAAAACCAATCAAAAATCTATTGTTTTTTTCTTGTATTACAAAACTGTTCCAAAATGAATTGCGAGAATTTCGAAATATTCAATAAGCATACCAGACTATCCGTGGATTCCGAATCTGTAGGAACATATGGCGGATTGAACAAAATAATATCAACATTTTGTTTCAAACGATCCTGAACAGCAGACAATAAATCACATTGAACTACATTCACCTCTACATCATTCAGCAAAGCAGTATGTAGTGTACACTGAAAGAAATTTGCGATAATTTTTTTTCCTTTTACTAAGAAATTAATTACTAAATTACTAAGAAATTCTAAAGTAGAGAAGTCGTACTTCTTTAAGAAATTTCTATAAAATTCATTTAAAAGTTACATAATAAACGGGAAATTCACGGCGTATATATCAAAATGTTGAAAATGATGACTTCCTCCAGCACTAGCATGGTCAAATAAAAATTTTAAATCCTAAGATATTAAACCCTCAGAGGATATTGTTAAATTTTTTATCAAAAATTAAAGTTGCGAAATGTATTTTCGTTATCTGAATATTTACATAACCTGAAGTGTTATAAAGTCTAAATCAGTGGCAATAAAAAATAAAGGCTCTCCAAGAAGTTTTAAAAGAAACGCCGATACGATTCCGGAACCGCAGCCGACTTCAATACCAATCGTTGGATTTAATGCACGAAATATCTGTAAGTTATAAGAAATTTGTTTATGATAGTTTTATTCATTTCTTTCAAGTAAAATACTGATGAAAATATAGAACAGAGAAAACATAAGAAACTTCTCAACACTTTTTAATTTCTGATATGGCACTAATTAGCATGGAACCATTTCGATAGCCATAGCCATATAGCCGTAAATAGAAAATCAACCTAGCGTTTCTCGAATTCCCAACTTAAGAATTTTTGAAATGACGCTATGATGATATGACACTGTGAATGACACTGAAACGGTGTGATGACTGTCTTATTTTACTAGCTTAAAAAAAACCATTCATGTGGAACTTATTTAGATACCAATAACCGAAGAGTTACCTCAGCATCCTTTTCAAGAGCATCTAAGAGAAGGAATGTATCTTCAGCAGGTTCATAGACATGCCCAACGTATTCATCCAAAATATTGTAAGCAGGAGTAGGTAGCGATACCATCTTCATTTATCCATTATACGGGGAATTTCCAACTAATACTGAATTATAAACCATTACTGAAAATAACTGAATAACACAAAAAAGAAATTTAAATTCATAAACAAATTTAAATTCATAAAATAGACGTAAAAGAGGATATAATATTTTAGTGGACATTAGTCTCGTTTCGTCTCATTTCGGAATACCGAAAGTTCTTTCAGCGGAATTAAATCTTTCCCGGTGGGCTGGCGACCCATATGCATTTTTAACGCCAAGTCACTCCTTAAAAAAATTAAACTTCTCTGACACGAGGAGTGGCGAACCTAACCAAAAATGTTGAGTGCTTTTTATAAGAAAAGTATAAACGACTGCTTTCTTGGACTTCATTAACTTATTTGCATGTCTCCCAATAATTTATTAGATGGTTTATATTCGGAATTTGAACATATCAAGACGGATATTATGTTCATTCTCACACTATTCTTCGATTAGATTTCAAAAATATGAATATTACATGAGTATACATATCTAAAAATAATACTAAATTAAGCATTAAAAAGTATCAAAATCGCTAGAAAAAAACCATTAAAAGATATTGACTGAAACAAAATCAAATGTAGATTTAACCCAAATAGAACAAACATAAATACAATCAGACTGAAACCACATACAACTTGATTCCAACACGGAAGCGAAGAAAAAGCTATCAAATTATCAAAGTTATAAATATAATACATATAAGATGAACAAGTGAAATGTAATTCAACGCCAGTCAGTGATAAATATTGCCATAGAAAGCAAAACAATGAAATATTCCACAGAACCCGTTAAAAAGAGAATAGGAAATTTCTTTCTTGTTTAAACTTGAAACTTCTTTCAGTTAAGCTGTGGAAAAAAAATTATTAAAATGATTTGTTCATTTTAGAAAAATGAAGCTTAAATAAATGATTACAGCTGCTCTATTGAGTTAAATTATTCACGAAAGATGAATCCAAAATACTATCAATTATATACTGAGCCGTTCGTTCACCAGCTGCTAATAAAGGATCATTAACATCAATACCAGAATTATTCAAATTAGACTCGTGACGTTCATCAAAATCTGCACTACTTGATGCAGATGTAGATGTAGAAATAGATGAACTAAACATCTCTTCATCGGTTGAATCCAATAAATTTTCTCGATTTCCCAAATTTATTTCCACATTACTTGGTTGATTTAGGATCAGCCTTTCTGAAGCTTGCCTTGGTACATTGTTATTATTCCAGTGAATTTGGGCTGGTTGAGCACTCATTGTTTCTCCACCTTCAGTTTGTTCTGCGCCCAAATTAGCGCGCTGCTGTGACTGAAATAATACTCCTTGATACTCCTTGAAAAAACAAAAACCAAACACTATTATCAGAATTTTTTAAAATTTAAATAATTAATAATTAATATATAAATAAAGAAATTAATAAAAATTTTCTATATAAACAAAAACTGTCAGCATGAAAACTATGAGACACGAAAAATTTACCGGATTGTGCTGCAAGCCTGTGATTATTCTTTGTACACGTTCTTGATATAATATTAGTGGCATTTCATAATGATGAAAGAAATATATCATTGAATGCTAAAAAAAAAATAAATCATTTCAATTAAATTTCATTTTAAATGAATCGCAAATTGGATAAAATAAATAAAAATTAAATAAACGAATTAAAAACTGAAGTACTGAAGTATTATCTAACCATTATAAAACAGCTCGAAGTAAGAAGTGCAAGACCGCTGTATTGACCGTTATAACGATAGTGATAAGCATAAAAAGCGTAATGATATAAATAGAAAAACCTTAAAAAAATTTGAATAGAAGAATGAATAGAAATAAACAAAATAAGCCAACAAAATTAATAATCAAACTAATCCAAAAATTCTTTGAATTTAACTTTATTTAAAACAAAATATATGAGTTTACGTGCTTAAAATTAATAAATGAGTTTTTCAAGGATCAAAGATATTTGTCTTTAAATACATTCAATAAGACCTTAGCCAGTGACGTTTACTTATAGGTGAATGACAGCATATAGCATCATACTGATCAGCTATCCAAACCAATAAAATTACGTAGAAAGCCGTAGAGGTATCATTAAAAACTTCAGACATTATTGCTTCCATTCCTGTAAATCAGTACTTTTATTTTATTCCATCATTGAACCAAATAGAACAAAAAAGCCAAATACTAACTAAGAAATAACAAAAAATGACCTAAAATCAAACTAAAAAAATGAAAGTACAATTTAACGGTTCTTTTTTTCATTGTACCTCCTTCTTTTCTAATAATCAAACCGATCCAAAAATTCTTCGAATTTGTTTAATAAAGTTAAAAATTAAAAAAGTTAAGCGAATTCTTCTCATTTAGTGCATTTAACTGATCTTTTTCCACTCGATTCACTCGTCGATGTTATACGTTATATTATGCAAATGAAATATAAGTTTAGCAAAAATATAATAAAATATTCAAAATGCTGAGTTGAAATTATAAACCATTAAATGTCATTAAACATAAACTTATTAAATCTTGTTTTAAAACTAGCAATGCATCTTATAAATTATACATTATAGATTATACATCTTAATTTGCTCCATTAATTAATGGTATGAACGAAAAGTTCTAAAAAATTCAATTTGGCAATCTTAAGTATTATCTTAAGAAAAGAATTACGAAAGAACTTCTTTTAAGACCCTATTACGAATGTCCTATTAGGAAGAAATCCAAAAAAAATTTTCATTTAATTATAATACGGAGATCTATTACTAACATGGACGAGAATATTGATAAAAAGTGGTGCAAGACTTTTTTAGTTAATGTTTTTAGTTAATGAATGTAATTAAAAAAGAAAAGACATTAATAAACCACTATCAGTAAAATGATCGTTAATAATTTTTAATACGAGACTTATTCTTCAAACAGATCTTGCTATTACTGATTAGGCTGACTCTACTCTAAAAGGATAAGGCATCTCCAAGCTGCTCGGTCTGATGTCATATCTGATATTAAAAGAAGTCATTCCTTTTTCCACCGTCTCACATGCGGCCTATATGTTCAAAATCTCTTTTAACTGTACAGATCAATATCTTGATTGGATCCTCCTCGCTTTTGACGCCATCCACCACAAGGCCTACCAAATAGCGAGATATGCGTTAATAGGCAGCGAAGAATATGTCCTAATTAGCGCAAAGCTATGTGATATGACGGAAGTGAATAGCGCCTGAACCAAGAAAGATGCACTTATGAAATTTTATAGCTCAGCGAAATGCGTAAAACATAGAAACATAAAACCTTAGAGATGAGTGGTCAAAAAAAGATGATTTTTTAATATCTGCACCAATGACCATGATCCATGCTATATACAATATAATGAGCATGGTACACACTATAGCCAGATAGATGATTCCACATAGATCACCAGGAGAAGGGAGAAATTTCTAGATTCAATTACAATTTATAATTTTATCTTTCGCTTGGTCCAGAATAGATCTAAAATAAAATTACCACTTTCTGGACCTGGACGAATTAACAAAAATACTTGGTTTATTGTTTGGTATAGAAAATAGTAACGTAACTCGCACACCATTACTATCATGGATCATTTTACCGATTGTTTCCCAAGTCACAGTTGCTTTATAAAGACCGAAGTGTTTTCTTTATAGCCTATTCAAGCAGCCGACTCTATATTCAAGAGCATTCTAATAGAAATTTCTGTTCTGCTATGCTGTTGTCGAATGTCGTCGAAGCGATTAGGATTACCTCTGTACGAGCTGTATGATTACGACTATCTCTGATACTCGTTTTTGAGCGGCATATTCTAGCGTGGATTTGGCCCAGTTCCGCAAACAAACCCATCAGCTGACCAGTATTCATCGATAGTTCCACAGGCACTGGTATTGAGGTGCTTCAATAATTCGACTTTAAATGGGCTAACTATCCCCAAACCCTTTTAATTTAATTTGAGATAGTTGGAAGATTTTTTTCTACGAATTGCCAGTTTTGTAGGGATATTGGCTCAACGACAACTTGGTCTGATCCATTGCCAGAATCAGTGCCGTGATAAGAATGGTTGTCTAGTACATAATTTTTCAAAATAACAATAACTGATTAAGTTATAATCAGTCATCAGTCTGGTTGGAATGTTGGTTATCTGAAGAGTTTCATGTGACTAAATGTTTTCCTCGATGTCGGAAGTATTGATAGAAAAAATTCCATGCTCTACGACAAAGTAAACAAAGTTCTCCATACACAGAGGCCCTACGCCATATCATCTTAGCACCATTTGACCTATGCGCTCATTCCACTTTTCCATTTGATCAACTTTCTGAAGATATGTAAGAACTTTGAAAGTTTCTGTACAGAACCTAACTTTGTCATATGTGCATAAAACAAGAATAAATATATTGTGATCGAGATAAATATATTGTAGAATTTCCCTTTGAAAAGACTATACGGTCATCAATCAGCTTTCACTTAATTGGAGCGAATCGAGCTCTTCCAAATATGAGAACCGCTAAGTCCAGGAAAAGAAGACGAAGTTTCGACAAGCAATTAATGTCTATACAATATTTAGACAAAATATGGACAGCTATTGCAGATGTCCATAAGCATTTTGACCATGCCACTATGGAGAAGACTTCGCCGAAAACTATTATTTTAACAGATCTCGAGTAATTGTCCTAGCTCATAAACTCATTCGCAAACCTAGTCTGTGGTGAAGGAGTCCGGTTATATTTTACCAGACCCGGTTTTCATATTTACCGCAAATATACTGGGATAGGAAAATCATGCATATTGGAGTCGGAGGACGCGGACACCATATCAATATAACCAGATTCAAAGTATAAATATAGGTTGGCCCTCATCAGCCATCCTGATAAATGATTATAAATTTCTGACAGATCTACTCCTCTCTGAAGAAGAGACAAAGAAACCTCATACAATCTCATTTCATAATCGCTAAGATTAGAAAAGTAATGTTATACCCAGGCTTGGGCGATAGAAAAAAAACAAATAAATAATACGGGAGTGAATAAAACTCAATTGACCGTGATTATCTGTCCAGGATCCATAGATTCAAACAGCTTAATTATAAAGAATATTTATTTAATAGTTAATAGTATTAACAGCTTACAGTTAACAGCTAATAAATTTTCTCAAGAAAAAACCATATTAACCATATAAAGAAAAAAATATGTAACTATTCTCATAAACGTTCTTTTCATAGATTTTAAGCGAGTAGAAATCTGTTTTGTTTTCATGCGACAACCCTAAGTAGGATATCTTGTTCAATAAGATTTAAGAAATAATGTAATATTTAGAATATTACATATTCTGATCCAGAGTTAGTGAAAATATATTTTATATATATATATATATATAACAAAAAACATTATATATTTATATATATATATATAATATAATCCCTATTTTAACAATATAACAAAGTAGCTACATCACAATAAAAAAAATGAAAATCGATAATGTTTGTTATTTTTGCTTATTTTTTTTTGTATACTACATAGGATGGATGATAGGTAATCACTGTTACAGAAAGGTTCACATCAATAAGAAAACATAGAGGAGCTATAATCATATCAACGACGTTCCTAAATCTGGTAGGATATTTTAGGACAACACATAAATAGAAATCCTCCTCTACCTTTGTTTCCCATAAAATAGTTGCCGCAATCTAAATTAAGCAGGTTAAGGCTTTCCACAAATTAAATTTGATAAATTCAAACGAAATAACAAATTATCAACATTCAATCACAATGTGTTCACAATGATTAAGAACAAGTTCTTATCTAAAGAACCCATAAGTAAGTCTCTACCCATAAATTTCTTTATATTAACACTTTTTGATTGAGACAATAGCATTCAGGTCTATGCAATTATTATCAAGAATTTCTTTCTTGTTCAGAAAATGACTGGAGATATTAAAGAGAAGCAAGTTTACATAGAATGAATATGGTAAAGAATTTATAATCTAGTTGAATTTTTTAATACACGCAGTCTATTGGATACTTTCTGTTAAAAATCTAAAGAAAAAAATCTTCAAAAAAAAAATCATTTAAAACTAGCCAACAAGCGCGAGGATAACTGTTAATAACGGTGCAGCTGGAAATACCAATGCTTGATTCATCTCAAACATTTGCAGCAAATCGAAAATGAAAAGAAAAATCTGATGATGTGAGAAACGCAACAACATCGAAATAGCGAATGTCTACAAAAAATAAATACTAAGGAATACGGTAAAATATTTTGGAAAACTTTAAAACTAAAACTACGATAAGAAAAAATTTAAATTTTCTAAGCAATCAAAAAAATTCAAAATATTAATATAAAAGCGCACAAATATTAATAACACAAAAGTAGCTGTTAAATAACTCGAATTTCCACTTGCCATCGTGACAAATCGATAATGTTCTCCAGTGATCATATCGCGTAAATATCCTTAAATTTAATTTCAATCTAGATAATATTATTTCGACTGTAAATGAATTTATAATTTTATGGAATAGCAGATCAAAAAGAATTTATAACGAGAAAAAAATTGAACAATGGTTAAACCTTTTTCAGTTTCATTTTCAGCCAAAGCTTTCACTGAAGCCATTAATACATCCTCATAACCCATAAAAAATTTCATCAACATACGACTAAACCAGTCTCCAAAGCAAGAATCCGTTTCAGGATCTAGCTAAAAAAATAGCAAAATTTAGGTTATATTTTAATTCTTAACATTAAAAATGTCAGTCTATGATAATTTAGAAATAATTTTCTTAACATTTTCGGAAAATAGCTTCATAATAATAAAATAGTATCATGAGTATAATTTTATAAGCAATGAAGGATATATACTCTGACAAGCATGAATGGGATATTATGTTCAACGCGATATGAATGAGATAATCTCAATAGACCATAATGTAGTGAATATTCAACGACATATTCAAATAATGCTTCCAAAGATTCACCTAGAATTCAGAGCTGAAATATGCAAGAAATGATGCTAACTTGCAAACGCAAAAATATAAAAATATATCAATTTAAAAAATAATTTAAAAATTAAGTGAGAAAAAAATGGAAACCGTAAAATCCATCCTCTTCAATAAAATCAAGAAGTTCTTCCTCATCGCCATGAACTTCTTCAACTGAAAGCTTTCTTTTGACCCCTTTACTCGACTTCAAAAATAGACTGATTAGTGTTTCTTCCGGTAGACGAAAATTAGTCCAGTGATCTGTTTTCTTCCTATAAAACGATCTCGTATATGATCACTGTTTAATTATTTGTTTGAATTAAATCCAAAAAATCTCAATGGCTGCCTAAAAAAAACATACGACGTTTCTCCATGTTTCGCTTTTAATTCCTTTGGCAATGCATTCGGGCCTTCCATCAGAATTTTCTTCAAATCAAAGAATGTAAAGCTGGCATTGCTTTCTTTTTGTGAACGTTGTTTTTCTGAAAAAAGGAAGAAAAATGGGATAGCAATGACAGCCAACAGATAATTAACTTTTAATTACACCTAAAGTGTGAACATTTAAGAATAAAATTAACCAGAAATCCGTTCTTGGTATTCGTTGAACTTCTCTAAATTGCTTATTACTTCGATACGCATTACTCCATCACGAGGCCAACTATCGACCAAATGCTTAAGGCAAGAATTATCTGCCTTACTAAATACAAAATGAACATAGAACAATAGACATAGCAAGGAAAGAGCCTAAAAAAAATACAACACTGAAAATGTAATAACTTAAACAATATTTATTTTAAAAATGATTAAAATTCCCGTTAATTCTCCAGAAGCAAAGCTCTTACAGCATTTATACATAATTTTAACTATGTAAAAATATGTAAATATAATATAAAAATATACAAATATAAAAATATATGTAAATATAATTGTATGCAAAAGTCAAATTCTCCACATTTTTAAAATAATCCTTAAAAAGAGATAATCAATGGAATAAGCACATACAAAAAATAGAACTGAAAATTCAAGAAGACGTCTGGAAAATCCTGATACATGATGATTGTAACTAATGGCAAAGCGAACGAGCATCGCATGAAATAAACGATCTCTTACTGTTCCTAAACAATTCAAGAGAATTCCAAAAGATGATTGAAAAATTTTCTTTTTGCCAATTTACGAAATTAACGAGAAATCTGTCTTTGATATTCGCTGAACTTTTCTATTGCTTTAAAAAAAATTTAAAAATTTAAAATTTAGTAACGCCTTATTTATTACAGAAGTCTTTGAATAATGCAATGAAACATGTAGAACATAGTTCTGCTTCAAAGGGAACTCTCGCCTTTCAAGATAAATGATATCTTATTTTTTAAGTTTTTTTCTAAAATTTTAATTCAAAATCTTCAAACATGGATTAAACTAAGAATTCCCTTAAACAAAAATTCTAATCCTTTCAACAGTATTCACCATTTCCAGTTTGGCTGATTCTACAAATTACTAAAGTGAATTTATTTCACCAGAGAACCAGTAGGTGATGGAAGTATGAATGACACCCAGCAATTATTTGAATTTCATTTTAATGGATGGGCTTGCATTCTTCATTCTTGCGAACAAATTCGCGCTCCCAATGCAACTGGATAACTGGTGCTACAATGGAATTAACCTATTACATATCTAACACAAATCTATTTTATCTCAGACTAAACACATAATTCTAATAATTATAAGGGAAAAAAAGGAATTATTTAAAAAAAAATGAAGAAATAAAATAAAATAATAATTACAAAATTATTTAATAGAAATAAAAATTAAAGTATGATGAAATGATGAAACTAATTACCAAACTGATTATTTCCTTGAGGTTGCGGTATATGTTCACCCTGAGGAATAGGATTATTAGGAATGCCAGGATTGCCTGTCGCTGGGTGAATGTTCGGGTTATCCAGAAATTGCACATTAGGCTGAGGTCGTGCATCAATATTTTCTTCTGCAGCAACTGCTACCGCTTCACCATTAATCGAATTTTCATCAATTCCATTCTGATGCAAATATCCGTTTTCCATTTCAAAAAAATGAAACTGCGTTTTTCTCCTTTATTAATAATAAATTGAGAACATCTTATTGTAGAGTCTAAATTAATAAAAATTAACCAAACCGAATCAATTAATTATAATAAATTTATGTAATGCATCGGTAACTTGGTGGTGAGGTGGTCGTCAAAAATGATTGATAACTGTTCAGATCTAAATCTGGCAATCTAAATTTAGCACAATTTGCTTGCCGGGAGACAATATCGCAGAAACAAAGGAGAAAAAAATAACTCAGTGGGCTGTTGGCCGGTTCAGAGGAGCAATACTGAAACTTTACGCCCTGCAGGAGTTCTACAAAATCCGGATACTACCTTCGGTATTTCTACTGCAAATTAATTCCCTGACAAAATGTGCCTGATTCGACAAGCAAGCGGAGCGAGTCTAATCAGCAATGTTAAAAAAAATTCTATACAGTACATTATTTTGGTTTTACAATTAATATTTTTACCACAAACCTCATTATAGCATTTTTCATCACGATTATTTATTCCATAACGCGCTCAGCTTTCCTTACGATGTACGATTACTTAGGTGCGTGCTAAAACAGATCAAAGAAGAGGTGAAGGGTAAGCACCTCCAGAGACCAAGCAAAAGTTGGATAGCCAGGGCTTAAAGAATTAAGAATCAATTTTCATACGGCCTCGGCGAAGCTTACAAATTTTTCGCATTTGTAACTTCAGTCCACAAAATTAGTGATAATAAACGCCAGTTGATAAATTATCACAACTACTTGGACGCAATGAATATAAGTGGTGTAGGCGGCCAGAACCTTACAGTCCCAACTACTTGTCCCTTTACCCTCTACCTAATTCTCTACCCTTCCCCAACGAAACTACCCCAGTTGTCAATGATTTCTAAAAATGGTGAAGACTGGATTCTATCGATCAAATATTTTCGTTGTAGGGCGTATGATTTAATTTTGAAAACGATACAGCTAAGAAATGATGTTTTCTATAGCACTATATCACTGTGTCGGTCGGCGACATTAGTCTCCCATCATTTATCATGTTATGTATCAAATCCCTCTTATTCCTTGTGGATGGTAAGCGACATCTTCAAATTTGGGTGCTGTAATAGAAGCTTGGTCTACACAGCATCTTGTATGCTCTTCTGGATAGATATCTCTGATGTTGTTCCTGGAATCTGTTGAATCTGTTGATATCTCTGATGTTGTTCCTGGAATCACTTTTTTAGTTTAGGGGTCATAGTTAAAAGTTTTCTGCGCCATTTTTCCAAAAATTTAGTAAATCATAGTTTACGTCACAATTCCAAGTGATCCTTATTGTCACTGGAATTATTTTGGCTTTCATTTTCCACATCTTATCTTTCAGCCCTCATATTTCTCTAATTTCTCATCTTCCTTCTTTCTGCCACTTGCTACATCGGCCAATTACGATATAGTTGATTGGCCAGTATTTGTTTGTCTGTCTGGATGGAGAAGTCCCACAAGATCCTCGCCTTATTATTGATAAACTATCACAACTATTATTTTCTACGATTTTCTGAGGAATCTCCCATTTAGCCAGTTGGTAACCGTGCATAAACTTATAGACCTAGTAGCCCAGTTGCTCGCGATAGACTGTAGTCATACTGGTTAGCAAGTGAAGGTCGGCACTAATTGTGAAAGACTTATAAGGGGGATGACACCGTCCTAGCGACCAGTGATGTCTCTACACAACGTGGGAAGCACTTATTAGGCATCATAGCAATCAAACTATAAGACCAAATATGCAATTCAAAGACCAATTCAAAAGGCATTAAGAACAAATGAGGCTCAAAACACTAGTCTATCAAGACAAAAGAACTCGATAGACCAATCTGAGCAAACTTGGAATGACTACAGGAAAGCCTATGACTCAGTGTATATATGGATCTATGAACTCTATATAAAGTAAACAGGATCCTTAAGATTGTGGAAAACGCACTTGAAGTCAATTCAAAATAGGCTGCATAAGTGGCTATCAAGTGCGGCATATATCAAAATGAAGCTTTCCTCGCTGGTCGATGGAAAAACATATATTAAATGCTGTAATATACAGGATAATTAAAAGTTTCAGCAACATGGAGGCTGCCGAAATTTCTACCACAAGCCTAGCACCGTTTTTCACCAAACTGAAAGAAGGTGGGTGGGATTTAGCAAAGCCACAGCTTGAGTGAAATTCGAAGCACTCAGGAACACATCAATAAGATGGCAGAAAGGATGTGCTGCTAAGAAAATGCCTGAAGCATCTACAGACACTGGAGAAACACCAAAAAAAGGAAGCACCATGGAAAAATAAGAATCCACTATGGGATACACCATCGATAAACAACTGAAATGGTGGCTGATACTGAAATCATATTGTGCTCGAAAATGAGCAAAACACGATTCAGGATCGGAAATGAAAGGGCAGCAATTTGAATTAAGTGACCTCTAATGAGACAGCCAAAGATTTCAATAGTGGAGGATTAACGATAAATATCAGCCGGAGAAGCTGAAAGCCGCTTCGCCTTCGCCTAACCAATCATTTAAAATTAAATCCAGCATTTTAATGATAAAGCGTTTTTATAAATTATCTTTATCTCTTTTATTATATGTTACTTTTCATTCCATTCACTGCCTTAAGTTGATTTTAGGTTTTTTGTTTAATTTGTTGCATCTTTGCTGCTTTGTTTGATTAATAACGTTATATGTTGTCGTGATTTAAAATAAAAATTTAATTACCCAAGTTTGAAGTGCGATTAATAATGGAAGTGGGATGTATAATGCGCGATGACAAAAGACAGATTATAGAAAGGCTAACAAATATAAATTACGAATACACAATTGAGGGACTTTTTTCGCTTTAGTGGCTATAAGGGTAAGACGTTTCCAAGCTGCACGATTTGATGCCATCGTCGACAGTAATAGAAGCCACTCTTTTTTCCATCGCCTATATCCATATATTGCTGGTCCACCTATACGTTCTTCAAAAACTTTCTTGACCGTATCATTCCAGGCCTTGATTGTATCGTTTAGCATGTAATGAAATAATGTGTCAACTCTTGTGGTGGGCGATGAAGAGCGTAACCTAACCAGTGAAGACGATGTTTTATGAAAGTAATTTAAGTGGTATTTGAAGATAAATGCGATGAGATTTTATCCACTCGGTGAACTCACAAAATGTACATTAGAAATGAATGGTCAAAGATAGATAACCTCCACTCTCATTGGCCATGTCTCGCAGCCATATAGCAAGATCGAAAGAATCGCAACTATAAAGACGCGAACTTTGGCTTTTATAGTGATTTCGCAACGGCCCCATAAAGTTTTCGTCAACGGAAGAATAGCTGCCGTTGTTTTGGTCGTAATTTTTTTTGTCTGGCTATTCGGCATTAGAGTGAGCCCAAGGTATTTAAAATCGGTCACTTCGCAACCGGCAACGAACTTATAAAAAGAGGCATTTATCAGCTTCTTGTATAACGAAAAGACTTTCGTCTTACTTACGTTGATTCTGAATCCAATTCTCGCTACAGTTGCTTACAGTTGTTGTTGTTTAGCATTATTTGTATTTGTATTTACATTTCGTCATAACTGTCAGCAAAAAAGGCTACGTCATCAGCGTATTCACTATCTGTAATACTATGCTCTGGACTGATTTGCACACCTCTTGAGTGCCGACAAGCACTGTCCGTTATCCGGTCTACCGCATAGTTGAATATTGTAGGAGGAAGTGCACAACTTGATGAACACCAGTTGTTATTTCTAAGGATTCTCTCTTCTCTCATATACAGATCTGCGCCGATGATCGCTGATAAAATGCCTTTATAATGCCAAATGCCATTGAATGTTCCTCATCTAAGGAAATAGTTTGGAAGCAACACGACTTAACCATCTTCCACTCAACTGGAGATTTATTCCTATATACTGAACTTTGCTCTGTTTTGTTAACCTAAGCAGATGGATATTATTCTATGTTTTAAAATTATATTTCATATCATCAACATATTTTTTTAAATGAAATTTTTTGCTTATTTTATATTTATATTTTTATATTTTATATTTTTTCAATGAAATTATAGTATTTTCAATGGAGATTTTTTCTTTCACCCAGCAAATAAATAGATATACTGAAATAGATATATGATATAGTGAAGTTATATGAAAAACAGTAGTCATATATGGTCATATCAAAGTTTTTAAAATTCTTCACATAATAACATTTGTCGTGTGCGAATGTCGTAGAACTGACACATTTGATCCTTACAGCGGCATTTTCCTGCAAGAAATACAAATGAGAAACTACATTATTGCATATAAATAATATTTATCCCAAAAAGAATAAATGGCTAAATGACAGTATGCTGATGCACCCTTTTTCATCGTGTGGCACAGTTTCCTAACGAAGAAAAGCAAAGGAAAGTGGAATGGCTCAGTGGATTGTTGCTCAATTCAGCGCTGATGCTGAAATTCTACTTCCGGCAGGAGTGAATTTATTCTTCGAAAATCCAGGTGATGCTGGCGACTCCTGTATTTTTATCGACAAGGGCTTCCCTAGCTTATTTATCTATTTATCTAGTCCGACAAGCCCGTGGAGCAAGTCTAATCAGAAATGGTAAGTATTCTTTAAAAAAAAGACAATATGTGAGCATACAGGTCATGCTAGTGAGTGACTCACTTATACTTCTATCGCCAAATGCCAAAATTGGTCTGGTCACAAGCCAATAGAATGTGAATCTAATCAGCGATAATGGGCGATCATAGAAAAAATATGCGCGCACCGGTCAAATAATATGATAGTTTCCAAAATTAACCTAATTTTAGAAATTGTTGTCGACAATCAAAATGAAAAAGTTTATGCATTATGACTTTTCTTCTATTTAAAGATTCAGATAGCTATTTTTTGTTGAAATTTTTGAAATATTTGATGATGCATTTTTTTAAACTTTTTGCTTTTTTAGCACTATCCTAATTTTTTTGATTTTGATGAATTACGACGACTTAAATTAAATTTTTTAATTTCCGCTTTTCTGTGGCAACTACTGCCAAAAAATTATGGATCAAAAATGAATTCACCACCGAGAAATAAAGGTCCTCCGATTTCTAATCTTTTTGTGTAACGACCTGAAAATTTTGAAGAATTGTCTATTATTCACTAAAAAATGAGGTTATTATTAATCATTATTCATTTCTAAGTGGCTTCTTCGCTGAAGGGCCTCTCATTAAAAGCGATTTCCACTCGATGCCGGGTGTATAGTTCTTTCTACTCTAAAAAGTTATTTTTTCGATAATGGACATCAGGGAAAACAAAGTGGAACGAAAATTTTTTAAAAGAGTAACTTATTGTCGGTGGATTTTTCCTTCTTAAATGAGAATTTTAACATGCAAAATTACATAAAAACAGTTATAATCAAAAATACCTCGTAATGACACTGGTTTTCCATCCACATCAATAGGTTCAGTTCTCCAACATTCGTATGCTGCCATGCATGGTTTGCCTGCCTGAAGTTTTAAGCATTAAAACATTATTTTGACAAATTTTTTAGAAAATGCAACAGAATATCAATGGAATTTTCACGGAGTATGAAATGGTGTCAAGACACAAAAATAGGCATGAAGAAATTGCAATGCGAATATAAGGCGATATCATTAAAAATATGGGAAGAACATACCACTGGAATGGGATGAAAAGATTTAAGAAATGTTTAGAGTAATTTTCCTAAAGTCCATGGCAAAAGAATCTAGGATCTAGTGTTTCTGACGAAAAATACGATTTAGAGAAGATAGAGAAGATATATGAGACTTGACGAAGTTATTTGGAAGAGATGCGAAAATCTTAGAAAATTAAAACAATGCAAATGCCATACTAGATTCTTACAATCCAATTTTATTTCGGATAAATTGTTGGCTAGCTGAGTGGGTCATGGTTGTGTTTATTTCTATATTTATTTTTATATTATCATTTTGATAGGATTATTTATATTTGATCCGATAATTTTTTGATAGAATGCAAATGCTTTCAATATTCCTTGAAGCTTTCTATAGATTTCATTAAAAATTCCAGAAATCGAGTAAAACTCTACCTCATTTTAGATTTTCCATTATGAAAATTACGTTTCATAAATAATTAATATTCCTTTAATAGATCAAAGTTTTTATGCAATGATTTCGAAAAATTTTACAGTTCAAAATGATCATTCTTGTTTCACAAAGCAAGTTAGAGAAAAACTTTACTTTCAATAATCTGCGAGAGAAAAAGTAAACCTTATGTTAAAAAATCCGGATGGTACTTGGGGCTCCTCTCTCCTATAATCTTCTAAGTGATTCCTTGGTACATTTATCGCAAAAGCCAATAAAGCTAACAAGAAATGCTAACCTTTTCAGTTATTAATTTGTGAGTAAATCATACTTTTTAATTGTGGTTTTTATTATATAAAAAAATAAAAAGCTTGATGGCTCATTTGCTCAAATCCACTGAGGCAATATTTGAAATATCTATTTGAAAAGAAGATGATAACCAACCTCATAATTAAACTGCGAAAAAACTGCTGTTATCGCTGATATTACAATAATCGAATGAGTAATGATTGGTGTTCTTGTAATTCTAAACATTCACACACAATCTTGAAAAAAAAAATTGATTTGGCAATATTTTTCCCCATTTAAGAATAGGATGATCGAGTGATATATTATTTTCAAACAATTCAATTTTCTGTTTTTTGTTATTATAGAGTACTTTTAGAATAGAAATTCTGAGTAGTGTTGGAAATTCGCCTATGCTAAGAGATCTGGTTGAAGCCAGCTCAACCATGGTAAAATTTTCTTCATCTAAAATGTCGTATGGCACGTGCAAACTTGTTCAAACGCGTAAATAGAATTGTCTTTATATTCTTAATCACTTTCTTTTGTATCTCTTGGTATCATCTTTTTCGGAAGCATGGAAGCTTTCCTAATGAATAAGGTTTAAGAAATCTATTTAATTTCCACTTAACCAAGAAACTGGAAAATTATTTCAACGATTTAAAAATTGAAAACCATAAAGCAAATTCATTAAAATCCAATATCTTTATTTTCGGCTAGATATTTGCTATTAGATTTTTTTAAAAAACTGGCTTTATCAAGGACATTTAATTGCTTGCTTTTGAAATTATTTGAATTTCCTTTTGCTATATTTTTGTCATCCTTCATCGTTCGTAATATAAATTGTGGAGGAAATTTAAAATTATAAGCGGCAGTAATTCATTTTTTCTTCATAAATGCTTCGTTGCTCTTAGGTTATTACAAATTACCAACAATATTTTGCGAATTGCTTTCATTATTCCTTGGAATTTTTTTAGAAAAACTTTTCAAAAAAAGTTTAAGTAGACATAACGGAACTCAATAAAGAAATTTGCTAAATGTTATGGACACAATTACTTAAATTAAATTAAGAAATATTTTCAAAATTTTGGCTTTCACCAGTTTTTAAATTAGAAAGAGTTATAAATAGAATAAAAGCAAAAAAATTCTAATTTAAATTCTAATTTAAACTTCAGTACTTTTTAGAGGAAATTTTTCACCTAATTCGTTTATCAAACTGAATTGTTCCAGCCATATCGAGAAAAGCGAAGGAAAGAAAACAACTGCAAATCGTCGCTAATATCGACAATACGTCAATATGACTATATCAGCATGATAAGCCATTTGTATAGACTCCAAAGAAATTTAACGATTTGAACTTCATTGGTCCATGTAGTTATCTCCTCAGATGATTTGAAGAAACACTCAGTAAGGTTTTTAGAGAATTTACGTCATCTATACTTGTGAGATAAGAGTGAATAATGCAGTGTTTTTGGACAGTTTACTTCTATTATGGGTTATAAAGTGAAATAAAAGCAATTTTTATTCTTTTGAATCACTTATCTTTATTTTAATTTTTTTGCTTTTCAAATTCCCTTTTTTTAGAATTTCGATAATAAATAAGCAAAATACAATAGAATTAGACTGATTACCAAGGTTAGAATGTCGTCCATTTGCTCTTTGTATAGAGCCAATAAACTTTCGACAAATGAACAAACTCTAAAAAAGGCTGAATTTTTTAGAAAAACGCTAATAGGTATTCTAAATTCTAAATTCACTCTTCACCTAATAAATTTGCTTATACGCCCACAATTTTTTTTGAGTTTATCTCCGAAAAATTTATGGATTCAAACGATAAAAACTCCTGCATGAATATTTAATGATTCATTAGCTCTTAGAATTTTTATTTATAATCAGCTGAATACCGAGTCTCTTATCTATAGTCTATTCAAAATCTGATAAAACTAAATGCTAAATAAACAGCGATGGCGTAAATGAACTGCTGAGATAATAAATGAAATTTATTATCTACAATATTACTTGCGATAAATAATCGTGATGAATCAAAATTTGGGAAAATTAGAGTTAGATGAATAAAAAATTAGTTTAATCCATTAATTTTTCCGATTTTTCTGTTAAAATATAGCATTAGCACTTTAGACTGAGAATTAGCTCAATTAGAAAAGAAAACGCATAGACTGAATATTCTGTCTGACCTTCAAAAAATATAATTACTATCAATGAAAAGTTTTGTTAAATCGGTAGCTTATTATTTAAAGGTTGAGTACCTCTTCCATTTTAAAGCATTAAGATGATTAATGCTTGTTTCTAACTTTCTAAGCACGATCTATTGAATTAACGACTTCTTGGCATTTTATTTGCCATTTTGAAATGAGCACAAATTCACCAGTTGCATATTAAATAATAGTAACATCTTTGAACTTGAAATATAAGAAATGCCTAAAATAAAAATAATTGTAACGAGCCAAAAAAAGCAGTGCAGTTCCATTAAAAAAGTTCAGTATGTTGGAATTAAAATAAAATTATAAGAAATTTTAGAATATTATAATTATTACTATTTCTAATAAAATCATCCAACTAATTGTTAGATTTTCAGCTAATAATAATTAAAATTATTAATGCATTTATATAATGGATTTGGATTGAATAAAAAAAATAATTATTCATATTATTCATAAAATTTCCAGATGGTATGGATAATGCGAGAATCGAATTTAAACCTCTGAGTAGCTTTAGAATCCAATATGCCACACATACATATTTCAAAATGGCCATTTAATTGGTTATAAGCAGCTGAAGACTTAGAAGACTACTTTCGTCTATCACTATATCTCATTTCAAAATTCATCAATATGCTTCATTGAGAAAGGTCAAACTTCTTAACAAACTTCTTAATGTATATATCTCACATTTACCTCATGAAAAGAAAATTTTGAAGTTAAATTTAGGTAGTTCAGAGGGTTGTTTTACCTAAGATTTCGTTCAACCGAAAATATCGATGAATTTAAATCGACCTGTATTGGTAGAATAGCCTTCATTGTAACTAATGTCCCATTTTGTCATGGAAATGAGATTTCCTTAAAGCTAAATTTATTTCATAAGATAAAGGTGACTTAGAGATTTTTCTAAGGCAAATATCCTCTGATCCATTTTTGTCATTCATGTTATTCATTATGTTACCATAAACTCTATTTTCTTATAATTTCTCATAATCACTTAAGAACTTAATTTCATCGCTCATACAATGATAAATTTTAAAATTATTGCTTACTAATTCATTTTCAAAAATTAATTTGCTCTGGGTTAAAACATTAAATCTGAATAATCATAAATAAAGAAAAAAAAAAGAACGATTAGCTTTTTTTTCCATCATTAAACAATGCTTCTTGAAATATTGAGAAAGATTATCGCTTAGAGACTGGTCGAATCACTTTGGATTTCTTCGATTATTTATCGGAGAAACGAAACCGAACTAATGAAATACGAACTTAGCAATTAAACTTTACTAAATTTTTTTTATTTTCACTTACAATCATTCAACAAAAAAAAGAACAAATTCATAAAGTAAGTATAGCTTGGGCAAATTTAGTCTCCATATATTTGATAATATTTACAAAATATTGCTTTATGTTGATATCATATTTCAAATATCGAGCTAATTATCTTAGTACGTTTCGTTTCTTATATTTTGCAATGGTTATATTTTAGCTATGGCAACAATTATAGCAGTTATTTTTTTGCATTCAGGGGAATTCCAGGAAATGAACACGTTAGATAATAAACTCATTTCAGAGAGCAGAAAAGTGAAATTAAAGAATTGAGAAATTAAAAAATTCTTAAAAGAATATCCATTGGAAAATGATGAACTTTAAAGCGATGGGCGTTTCAGCTAGTAGAAGGATTTGGGCGTTTTCTTAATTTTTATGATTGTATTCGAAGGCCATTCTTAGTTGAATGAAGTTAATCATGATGATGATTCTAAAATTATATATTCATTTTTTTTTACAAAATAGATTTTAGTATTCTTTGTCAGTTCTCAAGAAAATCGTGCTGAAGTTGATACAAAACAAATAAAACTGCCAAAAAACACAAAATATTCGCATTTATTTTTTGATTTTAGGAACCTTTCTTTTAATTCATCAGTATATCACACTAATGTCTACCTTTGATTATCTATGCCTACGGTATGTCTTCACCACGCGCATAACTCGTACATTGCTGTATCCATCTTTACCCTGTCACCGGATGTATTAATGTTAAAATTATAAAGCATCGCCGACACAGCTTTTATTTTCCGCATGCATCAGTATCAGGTGTTTATATCAAATGCGTTTTTTAAATGCATGTGTTTGAATGATGATCCGAAATGATGAAACGATAATCTAATATCTGATTCTCTAGTCTGAAATATGTTGTGTACGATAACCCAATTGGAAACATAGATAAAATTTAAGGAATAGGCTTATCAGTCCAGTAGCTTAATTTGAATTTTCATTTCCTAAAGCACCCGCAAAATAGAGCTTTTGTCTTTGACTACAACTAACCAGTCGATATACTTCCATTTTAATTCTAAGTTTTAAAGTCGATTTAAAAGCTTGTGCTGAACTTGAACATTTATTTTTAATCATTTGTGGTGGAATAATGAAATAATGAAAGGACAGTAGCGTAATTATTGATTATATCATCTCGTCAGGTTCTGGATCTTGCCTCTTGCAAATTATAAATCCGATTTTGACCCATTAGTATTTGTACTAAGTGGCATCATGGTGAAAGTTTCTCATCATGGTTACATGAATTCGTCAATGGAATAAGCCTAACCAGAATGGTGAATATTACTTGATGACAAGATGGTGAAAAAAGCCCGGACTTTCCGAATTTTTTCCATCGAACTCGTTTTTAAAAGCAAACAATGAATTCCCAACAATTGGCTTATTTTAGATATTTTATTTGCAGTTTTATGTAAATTAGCTTAGTTTCTTTGTGAACTTTGGCTAATTCAGCATTTACTTCACCGTTTTACAATTGTTATAATGGCCTTGCAAATAAAAATTTTCGTAAATATTTTTAGACAGTTCTGTTTGTGAAACGATTATATAATAATATGAAGTGAAAATAATAGAAATTAATCAACAACTCAATCTTACAGCCAACTTGCATATAATCATCGGTATGATATTTGTCATTTTTTTGCACAGGTAGCAAACTTTTTTAAGTTTTCATTCAAGAAGTAAACACTTGGGGCATTTAAAATAATAAAATAATTTGCGAGTTAGGATGACTGAATGTTTATTTCAAGCATTTCAAGCATCAGGACTTGGTCCTAAGAGGAGAAAATTTGTCATTCGAGTTATGCGTGGATTCTGTTGCATTATTTCCATTATTAAATGTGTCTCTGGCAAAACTGGCTCGAACTTGTGGCCAATGGAAAACTAAAAATACTTGCTTACTTAGTTAATTAAAATAGATTCGTTGATAAATGATTCTTAAACGCAAAAAATCATATTAATGAATACTTGCCAATTGCATGCTTATTTTATTTTTATCTTCGGTCGACATTACACGAGATTAAACATATTTTAGTCGAATTATTTGTGTTAAGTTTCTTTGTCAGTGTGTTTTGCGAAAAAAACTAACTGAGAAAACAATTCAAAATCGATACAAGAAAGTCAAACAGTTCTAGAATCCAGTTTCTTATGCAAAATTCTGCCAACTCATTCGTTAGGCGCGTTTATGCTATAAATATCATATACGAACCAGAAATTTATTCATTCCATATTGAATTTCAACTTTTTACATGAAACTTTCGGGTTCTTAAATTTTGGCTAAAGCAAATCTTTCTTCAGCATAAATGATCTATTTACGAATTTTTATTTTTAATTTACACTTTTAAATTCATGAATAAGGAATATTAGCCAATGATCTTAAATGTCCTTCTATTACCAGGAGATTAACAATACTTCGAAATCGCTTTTCTCCGACTGAACAGTGCAGATTCTTGATAAATTTTCCAGCAATAAAGATGGAATCCAGTACTGTCTTTGGTTCAAAAGTCGTCTTTTCATTTTTTTTTCACCGTAGGTTTTTTTGTTAATAAACCCTTTCTCAGATTAATATTTTCAATGCACATAGTAAATATGGGATTGAAAATGGAATATGTCCATGATTTCTGAACCACGATAATATCAAAAGTGCTGCAAAAGCTATTTTGGCTTATTATATTCGTAATTGAATTAATGATTTATGAAAATAATTTTCGCTCAACCGGAATGATTCATACCTGGTTTGAATGTCTGAAACCTATTCATATAAGCCTCTTATGAATTCGTCCTTTAGATTGTGGCATAATTTTTTTCAATTATGAGAAATTATTTGTCATTTTTTCATCTATGAAAAGTGCAAAGTCGAGGTAGACCTCTCTGCGAACAATGTTTGTACTGGCTGTGCAGTGCATTAGTTTGTGTAAACAGCGCGTGAACGGTCGTAATCACAGCTGTTGTTTTCTCTAAAAGTGCTGATAAGTTCAAATTTTCTACATATTTAATATCGCTTAATTAATTCTAACGAAAATTTTCTTGAATGTTCACCGATTTTTGAGCCTTTTTAATTATAGCAATTTCTAAGCCCTTCCTTTAATAGCTTAGATTTCTTCTCCTTTAAATACAGAACTGTTTATGTCCCTAGATTATTGTTATTTTTAATTTTATGAGTGGTTTGTTTCAAATGACTCCTTGGGAAGACATTCGCCTAACAGTGGGTAGAAGCTAAATTATAAGTGCAAAGCCGCAAGTAAGGCAAGTCTGCTATTGTTGATTTTATTTTATTTTTATTTCATAGTATAACGAATGATCATTGTTTCATAGGATGAAAATGTGGAAAAATAGTGGAAAGTACTATTTTTCAGATTATTGGCCGGAATCCTCATTATTACATTTTAAACCGTCAAAAATCTTAGTTTTGACGACATTAAAGTTTATAACAATGTTTAATTATAAGGTTTATACTAAAATTATATTATAATTTATATTAATTTATATTAAAAGGAAAAGAATGAGCGACATAGTACTAATAATAAATTGATCAACCAAAAAAAATCTTTCTGATTGGCCTATGAATAAATCGTTTAATTCGTTTATACAACTTATTGACCCATTGTGAAATCAATTTTAAGATTTATTCGAAAGCAAAACCACCAGATATTCAGATTGCCAGAATGCCAACAAAAATCATTTCTATTAAACCTGTCACTCGTAAGAATCAAACAGGCGATAACGATGTTTCAAAGTGAGTGAATTTTTTTTTTAAAATTGTTTTCAACTTGCAATAAATGTTTAACTGGAAGATTTAATTAGTTTTATCAATGATTAAAAAAAATTTTGATCAATACAGCACGGATGGAAATCATTTCTTCAGTCGTATAATATTTTATTTTCACTGCTCATGAAGGATTTAAATTGAGATCTCAAGCTCTTGAATTTTTTTGTATCCAAAATATGCCAAATAAAATCCCAGATAATAAGATTATATATATATCATAGGGGCTGTGGCATTGACTGATGTTATGTTTAAGTATAAATTCTTTAAATTCTTTTATTCTTAAATTCTTTTTCAAATTAGGAAGTTGGGAACAGAATATTAATAAGATTCTTAAATTTTTTTTCATGGATGTTCATAAAAATGAAGTAATGAAATGAAAAAAAGCAATTATAATATTCATTTTATCGTCTATTTAGATTTTATTTTATGATTTAGTATATATTTATTGTTATTTTCAACTATTATATTCTATTTTTTCGAAAACAAAGCCAAAAGTTATTCTTTTATCATTTGTTTATAAAGGAATATATTTACAAAGAGAATATATTATGCCAAACAATAACGAAACGGAAAAAAAAGTGCAGTTTTGCAAAAATTTACTTTTGAGGTCAAACTTAACCACGATGCGCCATCTGTTGTCCGGATATAACTGATTCGCCCGTCGAGCCATTTGTTTCCAACTGCGAACTGCCAACAGAAGAGGAAATAATCTGTAATCTATAAGCTTGAGGTCAATATAACTCCCGAAACATGGTCTTCGAGTCGAACTTTTCAAATGTTGTCCATCATCGTTCATATCTCACCTTCAACTAGATGTATTCTCTAGTATGACAAAAAGAAATAATGCTAAAAAACTGGAGTAAAGCAATTTTGCTTTCAATTCTTAAAAAACTAGACGTACTGCAGTTACCGAGGAATCAGCGTACTAGACATCTCCGGAAAAATTTTCATTTCCCCTTTGTTATATAAACTCATGAATAAACTCATGGCAACACGAAATAGCAGAATGCGTCCAAGCTAGATTCAGACCTGGATGCGGTTGTGTTGACCAGATACTAGAACATCGTTTTAAAAACCAAAAACCCACTGTGACTTGCTTTATCAATTTTCTAGCTGCCTTCGATTCGCTTGATGGAACAGCGCTCTGGAAAGTGATGGAATATGACGGTGTTCCAGAGAAGATCATCAGGATCATTTTATCAGCATACCCTGGTGCAGGTCTGTGTACATGGGAATTGACAGACTCCTTTGAAATAAAGAACTGGTGTCTATGAAAGTTGTGTCCTTTCTCTTACAATATTCAACTATGCGATAGAATGGATAATGGGCTTCGCTTGTCGGCATTCAAGAATGTGCAAATCAGTCCAGAACATATTACAGATCTTGAATACGCTGATGATATAGTCCTTTTTGCTCATAGTTATAAGGTAATGCAAATAATGTTAAACAATATGTACAACTGCAGAGAGAATTGGACAGAGAATTGGACTCAAAATCAATGTAAATAAAACGAAAGTGTTTTCGTCTTATATATAAGATGCTGGAAAAATACCTATTTTTATCAATTCATTACCGGTTGAGGAAGCATATAACTTTAAATACCTTGGATCCACTCTAACCCCAAATGGCAAGGCAAAGGATGATATTGTAACCCGGATAACGAGCTAAAAATATGTTTTGCGGTTGATGAAACTTTTATGGAATCGTCGCGAAAGTCATAAAGGCAAAAATCTGCTTCCGTATAGCTGCAATTCGCTCGATTTTGCTATATGACCGCGAAACATGGCCAATGAAAGTGGCAGATATTAAGAAGCAATTGGCCTTTGACCACTCATATAACATCAGTCATCTAAGAAACATTTTACGGATCCACCGAGCGGATAAAATCGCATATAATTGTATCCATCTTTGCTCAAATACCACCTTCATTAATAATGTTATCACAAAGCTTTGCCTTCGCTGGTTAAAGCGCGTTCTCCTTCGTTCAGCATAGAAGTTGGCGCAAATTTCGTTGCTTGCTAGACGCTGTGGTGTTCAGGAAAGATTTTGAACTTATAAGGGGACCAGCGATTTATGGACTTAGACGATGGAAAAAGCAATGGATTCTATTAGAGATGGCGTCGGACCGAGCAGATTGGAGACATTTCACCTATCAACCAGAGGATCCAGCCTAAACCAGTAATGGTGAGAGCTGTTAGAACAAAAAGAAGATAATCATAGCACCATTTCTTTAAAATTAAAATATAGCGATAGCAATATTTATTTTTAGTCGCTTTACGTTAACAATCACAATTTAAGTTTTTTCTTTTGTGCTATCGCGTCCTTACTAAGACTCGCGGTTACTAGGATTATGCGCGACACATATCAGAAAGAATATCCTTGTTCCTCGCTATTATTGTGTTTGAAGTTAAATGCTCATCATTCTTAGGCTATAAATTCAGGTAAAATATTTGATATTTTTTTCGCACATTGTGTTTTTTTTATTGCTTTATTACAGTTCTCTAAAAATATCAAATTAGAATTGTCGCGACCATAAAGCGCCAAAAATACACGATGTGAACTTTTAGCAATCAAAAAATCAAACGAATTCATTGGAAAACACAGATCGAACATCTATGCAATTTAAATATCAGTCATCCATATCGTCGTGGTCGAAAAACATCTATTATATGCACCATTGGTTCGCTACATTAGATAAATCATATCTATTAATATAACTTCGCAGTCTTGAAATTCTTTAATAATCATTTCCATTATATCTGTTATCCGAAATTTGCCAAAATAACTTCCAAAATTCCGTGAAAAATGTATTTTTCATGAAAGTCGGTTAAATTCAAAAGAGATTGGTAATTTACAATTTAGAGTTTGATATGAATTTGTAGCTTGCTTCTTTTTGAGAATTTACACCACCATTGGTTAGGCTGATTCTACTAGCCACAAGGGAAAGGTTTTTCTAATCGGCTTGAATGCAATAGAAGCCACTTTCCTTTCCATCATGTAATATATTACTACGGCTGTACATTCAAAATGTCTCTTGTATATTGGAACACTATTTGAAATTTCAAAAAATTAAATCTGGTTTTTTCGTCAATTTTCATTTCAAATAGTAATTTTGACCAGCGGCAAAAAAATTTTATAATAAAATTTCAAAATCCATGGCGAAAATTTCCCATTTTTTAATTTACCATGTTTTTTAAAATTTATTTTTTATATTTTTTAATATAGTACATAATTTTTTTCATATTATTTATAAATTTTCCAAATTTAAATATTTCGCTCATCGGAAACAAGCTGTTTTTTTTTCAGCCTTATAATTTTGCATATTTTTTTAATATGCAATATTATTACAAAAACAAACAAATTTCACTATATTTACGTTATAATTTTTCAATTTTCTCTTTTTTTTAACGTTTTTTGACATCACTGGAAATTTTCCTAAATCATCGCCTTGAAATACGAATAATTTACCTTGAGATTATCATAAATTTTTAGGACCAGCATGTCGAAGCGTAGTAAATTTGCTTCAGTTGATCGAAAATGGTATGAATATTGCTCGACTTAATTTTAGTCATGGTTCGCATGAAGTGAGTTTATCGCAATTCAATTTTGATGAACTGAAATCTCTTTATTGCAACTATTTTTTCCCGTAAATCTTATTTAAAACTTTTCATCTGTTTAGCTATTTTTAGGTTTTTTTTTCATTTTCTAAATTTCTAAATTATTCTCGTCCATCAATAATATTTGGTTCTCTTACTTTTGGAGCCTATTTTACGTATAAATTATCCATCCTATACTTTAGTACCATGCGGAAACTATAAATAATATATCAGAAGCAATTTCAAAGTCGCATATTCCCAGAAGTATTGCAGTCGCTCTCGACACAAAAGGACCAGAAATCAGGACTGGAAACATTGTGACCATTCATTACTTTGGTTTTTTTCAACATTTCTTGAAATTTTATTTTATTTTATTCAATTTTAAAATGAACTGCATTTGTCATCAAGAATTATTCACATAATTATTTTTGCTCTTTTGGACTTTTGCATTATTTTTTAGCCATCAGAAAACGAAATACTACTAATGAAAGGCAGTAATATAGAAATTGTCACTGATGACGCATTTCAAAATGATTGCACTGCTGAAAAGCTATTTGTTGATTATCCTAACATTGTAAATATTCTTCAGCCGCGATCAAGAATTTTTATTGATGATGGTCTTATATCGTTATTGGTTAATTGTATTGGTAGGTACATTTATTGAACAATAATTTTACTAATAAAGGCATTTTATGAGTACACGTCGGCGCAGGTCTGTCTGTATGGGGAACTGACCGACTCCATCGAAATAAGAACTGGTTTTCGTCAAGGCTGCATCCTTTCCCCTACAATATTTAACTATGCGATAGACTGGGTAATGGACATCACTCAAGAGATGCCTAGATGATGAAATGCGAGTAATACTAAATAACTGCAGCAAGAATAGGACTCAGGATTAATGTAAATAAAACGAAACGTCTTTTCGTCTTATGTACAAGAAGCTAATGAAATGCTTCTTTTTGTAAATTCATTGCCTGTCGAGGAAGTGGTGCCCGATTTTAATTACCTTCAACTCTAATACCAAATGGTCAGGCAAAAGACGATATTATAGTCCAGATCACGGCAGCTAGAAATGTTTTTCCGGTCTTCCGGTTCTTCCGGTTGACGAAATCGTTATGGAGCCATTGTGAAATTACCATTAAAACAAAAGTCCGCATTTATATTGATTCGTTCGATCTTGCTATATGGTTTTGAGACATGGCCAATGAAAGTGGAGGATATTAAGAAGCTATCTACCTTTAAATCTATCTAAGTTTTACGGGTCCATCGAGCGGATAAAATATCACATGATCGCATCCACCTTCGTTAAAACACCACGTGTATTAATAATGTTATCACAGAGCGTCATTGGTTAAGGCACGTTGTCGTCCACCACAAGAGTTGTCGTGTATTTCGTTACTTGCTAAATCACATGATGGATCACATGATGGCATCAAAAACGAGGTGGGTCAATCAAGACCTGGACTGATATAGTCAGGAAAGATTTTGAACGTATAGGTGGACCAGCAATATATGAACTTAGACGATAGAAAAAGGAATGGTTTCTATTACTGTCGACCATGGCATCAGACCGCGCCGTTTGGAAGCGTCTTACTCTCGTAGCCATTGGAGCCAGTCTAATCATTAATGATGCTAGAAGAAGAATTTTACCATTAATATGAGAATATTGTATATAGAAGGAAGTAAACTACATTGCACTGTGGAAAATGGAGGCCTTTTGGGAAGCCGGAAGGGAGTGAATTTGCCTGGAGCCATACTAGATATTCCCGAGCTAACTCAAAAAGACAAAGAAGATCTTAAATTTGGTGTTGAAAAGGTAAATTACCTTTTTATATGCTTAATCAATTTAGCATTATAATATATATATATATATATATATATATATAATATTACTGTGTTTTTTAAGATAAAAAGATTTTTGACTTGAAATTTTAAGGGAAACTCGAAAAATTCTTAAATTGCAAATAAAAAACTAATTAAAATTCTGAAATTTTAAAAAAATTTGTCAATTATTTAGTGTTCTATTTGGTGTTATTCTATGTAAAGCAGGTGGTTTTTTTGGCTTCATTTAATAAAATCTAATCTTAATAATGCATAAATATTAATAAAAATTAAATTGACATAGGCAAAAAATTTTAGCAATTCAAGTGATATTTTTAATTTTTTTTTGCATTAATTCCACTTTTTTCATCCAAAACTTTTATTTTTTGCCCATTTTAATCTATTTGATCTATTCGATTACAATTGCTATCCGAAGGGAATCGATATAATTTTCGCATCATTTTGTCGAAATGCTCAGGTAATTCGTTCAATTCGCGAAGCCCTTGGCGAAAAAGGCAAACATATAAAAGTTATTGCAAAAATTGAGAATCAAGAAGGAGTTGACAAGTAGTTATTTTCGATTGAAAACTTAATATTTTTCTATTCGAAAAGAAATCTGTGTTCATCAAATTTCCTAAAAAGATATTGCCATTAAAAAAAAAAATGAAATTTTTCTATATTGTGATTCATTATTTGTTAAATTAATAAATTAATAAAATGACCTAGAACCATTCTAATATTTTCAGGATTGACGAAATAATACAAGAAGCTGATGGTGTAATGGTTGCTCGTGGTGATCTTGGAATTGAAATACCAGCTGAAAAAGTTTTCTTGGCTCAGAAAATGATCATCGCAAAATGTAATCGACTTAATAAATCAGCTATTTGTGCAACTCAAATGCTCGATTCTATGATTCATAAACCAAGGCCAACTCGAGCTGAAGGTTATTCCATCAATTTTTTCTTAAATTTCAAAATTATTGAAAATCTGTTCATTTTGATCACATTTTCGCGAAATTCTGCGTTTACTGCATTTTCTTATGCATACTGCATTTAGTTAGTCTTTTATTCACATCTCCAATCTGTTCGGATCGTTTGTTTGAAATGAAAAAACCTATCATCCCCCATGCACTTCTAACAATCTCCAATCGACATCTATTTCCAGTCCAGTCAAAAATTTTTTGTCATATTAATAGCCAATAGAAAGAGTCTAACAAGCGCTAACAAACATTTTTATATTCCATCTGAATCAACTTATTAATTATTTTTCCACATTTATGTTCGTTTCTTCTTCAAGCGCGAAAATGTTGAAATTTTCAGCTAGCGATGTCGCAAATGCTGTACTTGACGGCGCTGATTGTGTAATGCTAAGTGGTGAAACAGCTAAAGGTGCTTATCCTCTTCAAGCTTTGCAAACCATGCATAAGGTTAAGATCACAATTTTATCAATGAATATAAATTTTATTGCACCTAAACTTCTTCCCTCCACCCTAAATTACAATTCATTGTGATTGTGATTTCTCATTTTAATCCATTTTTTTCTATTCATTGTCTTTAAACAACTGGAAATACATTATATTTTGCAGTGTGATTATTCTTTAAGATGATTTATATTCCCCAAATGGGGCATTTTCGATTTATTCAGATATGCAAAGAAGCTGAATCTGCAATCTTTCACAGCAAACATTTTGAGGAACTTCTAAGTCAAATAAACATTCGAACTGATCCAGCTCAAAGTGTAGCAATTGCTGTTTCTTCTGCCATCGAATCTTGTCAGGCTGCAGCCATTATATGTGTGACGAATACAGGAAGGTTAAATTAAATTTTACAATCTAAAGAAATACCATATTCTTATAGCCCATGGATCGAAATTTTTGGTTTTCTTGAATTACATCGATTGAAAAGAAACTTCTCGAACTTCTTGAAGCCTGTAGAATGTGAACAATACCTATAGTTGACCACAAAAATAAAGACCCTTTCAGCATAGAGTCACCATAGAATAAATTGGAGTTAACGTGGGTCCCAGTTTTTGAAATTATGACAGGTTTACTCCTGTAAAGACAAAGCAAAAAAAAATAAAATAAAATAGAAAACAAAAAGAAAAGAACTAAAAAGCAAAGCTTAAATTTATTTTTTTATTTTTTATGGCTTTATTTTGCTAAATTTTGTGCTCGAGAAGTGAAGACTAAAATAATTCCAGCAATAATTGAAGCTTTTGGAACTGTGGCTTTTAAATTAAAAAAGGCTTAAATAGATTTCAGGAACAATATCAGAGATCCCTATCCAGAAAAACACATTACTAAAGAAAAATTTAAAAAAATAGCACTTCTCTTCTCGAACCCTTAATCTCCCAGGTCTTGGTCGAGGACCTGAGGTTAAGAAGAATCACTAAAGCCCGCGGGATATGAGAAAGAGATTATTTAATTTATAATTTATTTTTAATCCTTTATTTTAAAGAATTTAAATTAATTGTTTGTTTAATTTCCAGAAATAACGTAAAAAAATGGTAGAGCAGATCAGAAACAACTGCTCACGAAATAAATTTTTCAATTAAAAAAATATAAAAATTTTTTTTAACCTAAAACTTGTGGAGTATTTGATATTATTTATGTAAAACTTATACACGCAATATTTGGTGTTTAATGAGGAGTTTTAATTTTTAGTGAATTCTCAAGGTGTTTTTTGCTATGATTTTATTATTTATATGTTTAAGCCTCATTAAACATATCTCTCAAATATACCTTCAAAAAAGTGATGACAGGTGTGGCGTGGTAAAGCGTGCTTTAAAATGAGAAATATTTTCTGGGAAGATGTTTTATAAAAGTCCAATAAAGAGACATGATCAAATTTTTCTTCATGCTGAACATTTGAAACTTTATGCATTCCATTTAAAAAATTTTAAATTTGAAAATTAATGGATTTATGCCGACTAAACATGCAGTCGTAAAATGTTGACAGTTTTCTCGAAAACCAGAATTCTGGAAACTTGTTCTAATATTCCTGTATCAAAACCAAAATCAAAACTGTATATTTTTCGCTGGACTGTTTATGGACTGTTTCATGTATTATTTTTCAACCAACATACCAAAATGCTTAAAATTATTTGCCATATTTACCATAATTTAATCATATGCTATTGTGGTTTAAAAGATGGCATTGATTAGTTGGTTTTCACTTTCTAATAATTTATCGTCTATTAATTTTATAAGATTTTATAAGTTCCAGTCACACTATTTTTATCAGTAATCAACGAGACGTTAACGAGAAAATAAATTCTGATAAAACGGCAACTAAAAATAGATTAAAAATGAAAATAATGGCACCCACGGAAGCCAGTTCTTTAGTGATATTATATTTTCAGCCGTATCTATAAACATTTGAATTTTCATTCATTACGCATAGAATTTGCGATTTGCAGTTCTACTCTCCAAATCTAAAAATTTTCCCATTTCTTTAATTTGCCTGTCTGTCTCCAAATTGGACAAATTACAAAAGTCCGTTCTTTTATTATTACACATTTATTTCTGCCACGCTTTCCATGTACTAGAATATTACTTTAAAAAAATTATCTTTACCTCAATAAAGGTAAATTATCTTGGTTTTTTTGCAATCATATTTGCACAAATGGCTTTTCTTTTAGCCATATCATTTTTAAAAAAATTTGTTGACAGAATTTTTTGCAGCTCGTCTATTTTGTCTTTTTAATTTATTCTTTGATACGCATGGAAGTTTGCAATGTGCTTTTGCATATAATTTTTTCAAATTTTCAAATTGTTTGACTTAGTTTCCCTAAAAATTAAGTTATATTTGTCTTGACGAAAATCTTTTTTTTATTCATTATTTCTTTATTTATTTCCGTTTTCTTTTAAAACAGCGTTAAAGCGGCGCTGAAATAAATAACCTAAGAAAACGTGTGTTGTGTCTATTTAATCAATGAATGTCTGTAGTTGCACTATTAGGTTGACTGAAATATTATCGGCAAATGTTTATTATCATTACTATCGCAAAAAAACGCTTCCACATATTGAAAATTCACGACATGGTGGACCACCAAGGTAGACACCCACGCCAATAAAATGGTCATTGCTCTACTCAGTGAGTTCCGATGATAGGGGTTCGATTTCCGGCAGAAATAAATCTATCTTTCAAAGAAGCGTGTGGTGCTGACAATCCACTTATATTTTGTCAAGTGACACTAGCAACCGAGAAAGTTAACTAGAACTGATGAACATTCTTAGAAAAAGTTCTTATAGTCGAAACACTTTATTCAGCTTCTAAAATTATTTCATTCACGCATTAACTCTGGTTTGGTTACTTCTTCTATTACTAAGAATACAGATTACTAGAAATTCACATGGAGTACAGATTGGTCCTAGTGCCCTTGAGATTTTGTTTTTAGTGACAAATGGTATGCGTCAAAGAGCGATAAAGCCTACTTGATCTCATTCGACGGAACCTATTGTTTCGAAATTTCGATCTCAGTCGTTAGTTGTTAGATAAAACAAAAAAGAAAAAATTCATTTACCAAATTTTAGCTCATTCATTGTTTTTTTAAACTCTTCAATTGTTTTTAATATTGAATGGTTGCTTGATCACTGATTCATTGAATGCATAAAACCTATGAGACCGGAAGAAAAATTTTGGTTCATTCAATAGACATATAACAATGCTCGGTTTTAATTCTCTCCAACCGTTCAAAATTCGAACGAATTACATTAAAATAAATAATTATAGACTTTTCCATTATTCCATTTTTTTTTATCTACTTTCAGTTATCGTTTTATCAAAGTTAAATTGTGCAAAAATTGTCAATTTATAGTTTCTTAACTATCTCAGTAGTTTTTTATGCAGTTATTTATTTTATATTTCCTCAAAATTTCAGAATCAAATAAAGCGTTTTTAGAATAGCACGTTTGATCTCGCAATGGCGACCCCCAGTTCCCGTTTATGCAGTTTGTTCAAATCCAGTCGTTGCACGGCAACTTCATCTTTGGTCCGGTGTTCATCCTTTATATTACCAAGGTCTTGTTCTGCTTTACTTTTAAGAAATTTTTTTACATTCCAATTTTGTGGAACTTTTTGTGTGGTGAAAAAATTGCACATAGTCTTCAAATAGCACAAATTCTAATTCTATTGAACGTTTTTCCTGTTCATTCATTACTATTAAAAATTTAATATATTATTTTAAAATGATAAAAATTTTAAAGATGTTTCTTTGTCCTAAAAGTAGATAAAAGGTAAAGGTAAGATAAAAAGTAGCTTAATTTTTCATTACTTTAGTCATTCACCAATGGCCTTCTGATCTGTGAAATTATTTTTTCCCGTTAGCCATGATTAACTCGAAAATTTAATAAGTATAAAACCAAATCTTTTCAGACGTATTGAAACAAGGATGGGAAATTGACTTAGAAATTAGAATCGGTTACGGAATAGCTGTTGGGAAACGAATGGGAACAATTACACGTGGTGATATGGTAGTTGTTATTTCAGGAGCAACGGAAGGTGAGAAAAATTTTGTATGGCTTAAGGAAAATCATCCAAAATTTTTTCAATTATTTTATTTTAATTTATTCTTGTTTTCAAATTCTTTCTATCAAGCCTTTTTACACTATGCTCGCATGGCAAATCGATGGCACCTTACTTTTAACAGTTTTCACCATTACTAATTAGCCTGATTATAAGGGTAAGTTTTTTTGGGCTGTTCGATCCGATAGTATCTCTAAAATTAATAGAAGTCTCATTCTTTTTTCCATCGACTAAATCCATATACTGCAATAGAAATATATGTTCAAAATCTTTTTAAACTGTATCAGTCCATGTTTTGATGACTCTCCTGTGATAGGTTTAGGCTTAGATTGAACGTTGAACTGTGGAAAACTGACTCAGACATCCACATGATATTTTGAAAGAATGTGGATAGTGATATTGGCTTGTAATGTCCATAAGTTCTGGTGTTCCACGCTTTTACGCTTAAAACCTCACCGCGCGTGCTGGGAGCCATTTCTCTTGTCAGGTTTTGAGTAATTATTCTGGCTGATAAGCAGATCATATCCTGAGTTCTCAAGTCATGAGTCGTTTGGTTGTGCTGGAATTGTATATTTATCGCATGCACCACCAGCTAAGGGCGTGCCAAGAAGACCTGATCCTTTCACTTTAGATTCATTTAGGGATAGAGTTATAGGTGAGCCTCCGGATTTTTGAAACAAATAACAGGTTTGCTCTTGTCAAAGGCAAAGAAAATAAAAAAAGAGAAGATAAAAGAAATAGAAAATAAAAAGAAAAATAAATTGAAAAATCAAACTTGTCTTAAAAATTTCTAATTTATTTCTAATTCTTTGTCATAATTTGAATAAAAATTTAAAAAAAAATTTAATTTAATTGCTCAAACTTTAAAGTCCCAGAAATAGCGCAAGAAAGTAGGAGAGCGGAGCAGAAATGAGCGTTGAAGAAATAAATAAATTTTATTTTTTTGTTGGCGGAAGGGAAACGAAAATTTTTTCGGAGATGTACAGTAGGTTGATTCCCCGATAATTGTCGAAGTATGTCCTGTCACTTTTCTTAGAGACTCGAAGCAGAATTGATTCTCCAATCTTCTGGTACTATTTCTTTTTGCATGCCAGAAAATAACATTTGTTGAAGGTGAGTTATAAATGATGATGAGCAGCACTCGAAGCATTCGGCTCTAAGACCACTTTGTCCGGAAGTTTTGCTGGCCTTAAGCTTATGGATTACAGAAATTATTTCCTCTTTTGTTGGCGGTTCACAATTGCAAACGTAAGGCTGTACGGAGGAATCAGTCATATTCGGGACAACAGATGGTGCATAGTGGTTAAATTTGGCCTCGAAAAATTCTTTCCATCTTTTGAGGCGATCCTTAACAGCTTTAATAGGCATCCCAGTAATATCCCATATCATTTCACTGACTCCTTTCTCGAGTTGTAGCTGCTAAAAGTCTCATGGCAACAAGAGATAGCAGAATGCGTCCCAACCAAACTGGATTCAGATCGGGTTTGATATTTACGTTAAGATATAAGGAGAATGCTGGAATATCGCTTCAAATACCAACAACCCGATCACATTCTTTATCGATTTTTCAGCTGCCTTCGATTCGCTTGATAGAACAGCGCTCTGGAAATGGATTAGACTATGTCCCAGAGAAGATCACTCGACTCATAAAGGCGTTTTATCAGCATAATGACATATTTCTTCGAAATAAGAACTGGTGTCCGTCCGTCAGGGCTATTTCCTTTTTCCATCAATTTTCAACTATGCAATAGACTAGATAATGGGGATCGCTTGTCGGCGGCATTCAAAAGATGTGCAAATTAGTCCACAGCATAGCATCACAGACCTTGAATAAGCTGATGTAGTTTTTTTTGCTGATGAGGAAATGCAAATAATGTTAAACAATGTGTCAACAACTGCAGCGAGAATTGGAGAATTGGACTCAAAATCAATGTAAACTAGACGAAAGTGTTTTTATCTTATATACAAGATGCTGATAAAATACCTATTTTTATCACTTCATTACCGGTTGTGGAAATGCTGGACTTTAAATATCTTGGACCCACTTTAATCCCAAATGACCATGCAAAGGATGGAATTGTAACCCGGATAACGACAGAAATATGGAATATGTTTTTCCTGTTGATGAAACTTCTGTGAACCGTTGCGAAATCATCGTAAAGACGAAAATCCGCATCCATATTAGCTGCAATTTGTTTGATCTTGCTATATGGCTATGAAACATGGCCAATGAGAGTGGAAGATATTAAGATGCTATCAACGTTTGACCACTCATGTCTAAGATACATTTTACGAATTCGTCGATCAGATAAAGTCGCTCGCACATGATTGTATCCATCTTCGTTCGAATACCATATGTATTAATATTATCATAGAGTTCGCTGGCTAAGGCATATTCTCCATCGTTCACCACAGGAGCTGACGCATATTTCGCTATTTGCAGAACCCTGTGATGGTTGGCGTCAGAAGCGAGGAGGGCCAGTCAAAATCTGGACCGATAGACAGGAAAGATTTTGAAGATATAGTGGGACCAGCGATATATGGATAGATGATGGAAAAAGGAATGGCTTCTATTAGCGATGGTGTCAGACCGAACAGAAACTTCTTATCCTTATAGCTAGCGCAGCCAGTCTAAACGGTAATGGTGCGAGCTGCTAGAAGAAAAAGGTACCATAAATATTTTTATGTATTGAGTGGAATCGACGTTTATTATTATTATTATATCGTTTGCATCTCAATATCTTTAAAAAGAATAGAATAATGGGATACTGACCTATTTCCATGGTGTCAAATGCCTTATACAAGGATTAAATGATCAAATTATTCCAGGAAGTGGGATAACCAACAATATGCGCATTATTCCTGTCACATAAACTGCAGTTCTTCTCGAATGCGTGCTATTATTGTACTTTTGAGTAATAGTTGGCTCTTTCTTTTCTTAGACTTATTTCTTCATAGATTTTTCCAATGAAAAAAGTGTTTTGCAGATTTTAAAGTCACTTTGGCAATAAAATTGTTTCATAAAAGACAAAATTTTGTCTAATCTTGTAAAACAAAATTGGTATATTTTCAAAAATCTGTGATCTGTATTTACATTAAAATAGTTTGAACAAGAGAATAATGAATGCGCAATATTAATCATTGCATTAAAACTGATAAACAATCTTCTTAAAAACTCCCAGAAAAAACAGTTGACAGTTGACTAATCAATTTTTTAACTAATTCCGCCAATTTGAGTACCTATAATTGATAAAATGATTGATGAACGGAAGAATTTATCAGCGATCATGTGAAATAGTTTTTATTGAACATTGATTTTTAGTTAGATATTTGCATTTAATTATAATTTCTGCAAATTATTTTCCTAATTAGAAATTATTGTAAAATTCTTGAAAAATTTTAAATATATAATAAATTCTGCGAAAATTTCATTAGAAAAAATGAAAAATTTTAAAAAAATGCTAAAAATTAAGCGACGAAAGTACAAATCTTTTGAGAAAAGGAAAAGAAATGAGGCACAGACCGAAATCATTTGATATCAATTATTATCAATTATGGCCTTTTCATCTATATCTAGGTCATTGCCAATAACCTAGTTAAATTTCCGCCAAATCGCATCAATATTTTTATTCTTTAATCATTTTGCATCTAACATCTAACTTGATTTGTTCAAGAAATAATGTAAAAATAATTTTCTCATTCTTTGCTCAAGCATTTGGATTTTGAAGATGTTTTTATGTAACTTATTCATCGGCTTATTTAGAAATTGAGTTGCAGAAAGGAAAAAACCATTTTTTTTTGTAGAATTGGAAAGAATCGTTACGAGTCGCAAATATTTCACCAGAAATTTTCCTTTTATTCATAAGAACTGGCTATACAAGTTGATTAAAATATAATATTTGTTGATTAAACAATCTATGGCAGTGTTCATATTCAGATTTTCTAAAATCTTTGGTAGAATTAGTCGGATTAGGAGCTAAAAAATATTAAAAGTGCTCAAAAATAGCGAACATTCTGTTGTTCACCCAGAAATTTCTTAATAACCTCGCCGAGATTTAATCGAGTGAAGTCATCCAACTGCACAATTGGTTCATCCGGATCGATGTGAAAATTACAATGAAACCCATTCAACAGACTGGATCCTTTCTAATTAATGCATTTATCAATGAAAATGGTTCCAGACTATTTTTTAGAACAGTACTTGAAATTCTTATATAAATTTTTAAAGAAAAAGCAAAATAAAAGGGCCACAATTTGTCCTAATGATCTTTTATGTTGTTCCGGATGGTACTAGCGCACCACATTTGCCAGTGACTCTGGTAAAAACTACAACCATTTTTCATCATGTTAAGCTAAGTAATGATAAAAAATGGTGAAAATTACTCCTTTACTCTTCTCACTTATTATTTATAAATTCAGTTCAGTTGTTAGTGCTTTATTTTAAAAAGAAAACATAATTGATTGAGCTATGTAATTATAATTTGTATTTCAAATCAGGTAAATTACTCTTTTTGCACCGAAAATTTCGCAAGCGAAACCGGTTAAAAGCAAAGCGCTAGATTATTTTCATTTCTAAGTTTTTATTATTTCCCTTCTTAGTTGTATTATAGTATTTATAGTTGTATTATATTATATAATATTACTATTCTCTATTAAATACTATTATCGATAATATTCAAGGCTCTTTTTTTTTTATATCAAATTTTATTTGACAAGTTTTTTTGATGAATTTTCGCTTATGCAAAATAACCGAGTGATTATTGCTTAGAGTCTTGAGTGCTGTTTTGTTTTGAACTTTGAATTTGCCTCTGGTAGAAATAAAGCTGTTACTAAAAAAATCCATGTTATTAGTGTATTTCTTACCATACAACTCCCTGGCAAAAATAACTCCCTGACAAGGAGTGGAGCATATTTAACTAAAATGATGACTAATTACCGTACTTTTTTTACCATTACTCTTCAGATTAATATACCAATACACACATTTTCACCCATCATTCATTGATACAATATTTACCTAGCAAACAAGATAAATGTATTTTTTCAGCCAATAGTTTTTTAGATAAATTACCACAGAATTCTCGAAAGTAAATTATTAGATTCCTAACGATCTTTTAAAGAACAGCTTCAGACAAATTCAGCATTTTTGTTGGAGAAAAAACTTTTTTCTCATCCACTGTGGATGGTAAGGATCGTCCTCAACTTTGAGTCCCAGAGGCCTGAAAGATTGAGGGTTCTGTTCCTAATAGTGCGCTCTTCCAGATGATAGAGATCTCCAATGTCCTAGAATCTGTTAGCCATTTTTCTAGTTTAGGGGATACAGTCCCAAGTGTTCCAATTATCAATGGGGAATTACTTCATTTTCCACATCTTCTCTAGTTCCCCTTTCAGCTCCCAGTATTTCTCTAACTTCTCTTATTCCTTCTTTCTAGCATTGCTCATTGCTCACTTAATACTATATCTATACCTATCACAAGCGGATTCTTGTTTACTGCCATGATATTTGGCCAGCATTTGTTCGCCTATATGGAGAAGTTTCACAGGATTTTCGCCTTATCATTTTCTACGATTATCTGAGGAATTTCCAATTTAGTCTTGAGAGTGTCTAAGCCATATATCCAGCAGATTTTCTCAGATGGTGCCAGCTACTTGGTTATGTCTTTCAGAATGTATGTTGTTCCTGCTTGCATTTGACAACATACCACTATGTGGTAGACTATTTCTGGGACATTTTTGCAAAGTCTGCATCAAAAATTATAATTGAAAAACTGAAAAATTTTTTTGTTCATTTTTAATCCAGTTTCAGGTTAATCGTTCCACTCTTTCTTTTTGACCCTAATAATATCACTTATTTCTCATATTCTTTCTATATATTTCGTTCCTATTTTTTATCAATTTTTTCATTTGGTGATAAATTTTATTATCTTTATTTTGGTAAATTCATTTTGCTTAGCAAATTCATTCATTTTAGATTTTTTTATTTAAATTTATCAATCAGTCTTAGCAATTTTTTATGAATTCCTTCACTCTTGGAATTTTTTTAAATTTTAGTTATTTTGAAGTTCTTTGGATCTGCTTTGGCTAAAAAGATAACTATCCTCTGTGATTATCTTTCTATTGTCTCTGGCTAAAGTCTGGAATTTACTAAGAGAATCTATTAAGAAAAATTTTGCTTCGATTTAAGTTGAACTTTATGTGATTATATATTTTTCTAGATTTCAGTTACAAAGAAGTATGGCTTGATATATTAAAAACACGGCATATTCAACACTGCAGTTAATAAGATAAAATTATATATGACAAGGAATGCTCATAAAATCTTTTATGCCCATAATATCAAAAAGTTCAAATTCAAAATTTTTCCGTAGAAATGATCTAAAAGTACAACTGCGTCCATTATTTATTGATTCGTAGTTCACCGCTTCTAAAGACTAATGTATTCAATTGTTTCCGGCCAATTTGTCGAAGAGCAGTTTTTTGGTTCATTGAACCTTTGATAAAATATTCTTCAAAAAAATTTAAACTTGTTGATAGACTATTCAACTATCTTATTTATGTTTAGTTCAATGGTGTTTTAATAGAATACAGATCACCAGATAGTGAAAAAATTATTTATTAAAATTATTATAATTTGGAACCTTTTGTTTTATAGAACTTTCGCACTTCGCACATTTTGATCAAAGGAATTTTGTATTTAATAATCTTAATATTTAAATATTATATTTAATATTTAATAATCTTATTAAAGAATGGTGAATCCGGAAATTAATAATTCGGGAGATTCTGCGTTCCAGAAGCATGCAAATATTGGTACAGCTTGTGATTCACCAGTTTGTTCGCAAAAATTAGCAACAATTGACGATGAAATAATTGAATCAACAATGATGATTGACGATCAGCTGATCGGTTATTGTTCTTATGGACATGGAGAAACGAAACTACTCTTTATATGTGGTGGTGTTGGTAAATATTGGAATATTTTTCTTCAAATTTACCCATTTTTCTTCATATTCTCTTAATTCCAATTTTTCCTAGATTTTCAGGTCTTTTTTCTTTTATTTTGCCTATTATTTACCACAGTTAAGGATAGTTTTACCTTTACTGAATTTTGAAAATCAAGAAATTCGAAAGGAACGAATTTTCATTTTTAACTCCAAGCTTAGTAGTTTACTAAGACTACCATTTCTTCAATCCTTCAGGAGTAAATTTAATATTAGAAGCTATTAGAGATCTACCTATGCTTTTATTCCTTAACTGTGGCTTTCTAACAAAAATTCTGATCTCAATAAGCCAGCGAGTGGAGCGAATCTAAATAATGAATTGGAGAATCAGTGAGGTGTAGATTTCATGTGGATCAAAGGTGCCAGTCGTATTTCACTTTTAATGGCTTATCAAGAGAATCAAATTTATTGCAATTTATTTTTTATGACCGCGATAATAAAAAAAATTTCTCATGAAAAACAACGTTTTCTTGAATTTCTTTTTAACAATTTTATGTTACGATTGTTTTTTTTTTCACTCAATTGGCCTCGTTAAGGCACTAGTTTAACAGAATAAATTTCATATTTGCTTAAATATACTATTACACAAACAATAGGGAATTCGAGCTTCCAATTTTTTAAATAATATAGAGGAATTTGCGAAAGCACTAGAAACTTCACTTTGAAATTGCTCATTAATTATCCTACAAATGTTATGGTTAATCTTACAGGATGCTACAAAAAAGATTATCCTGAACATGTTCTGCGCGCATTTGATTCATTGGTATATACCATTGTGTGTATTGATCCACCAGGATATGGAAAAAGTAGGCCACCTGATAGGTTTGGTTTTTTCTTCACACGTGAATTCATATTGTGGTCATTGAGTTTTCTCAAAATTGTAAAATTCAGAATTTTCAGGAAACAAGAAGTAAACCGTTGCATGAAAGATGCTGGATTTTGTATTAAATTGATGGAGGTTACTCATTTTCTACATTTTTTATAACCCAGACATTTATCTTTAAAAATTGAAAATCCTCATGAATGATTGCTGCAAGCTTTTCAGCAATTAAATTTTACACCATTTTCTGTACTTGGTTGGAGTGAAGGTGCTCGAACTGCAGTACATGTCGCTGGTCAAGGAAAGCATCTGGTCAAAGCAATGATTCTTCTTGCACCTGCTACTCGAATAGATCAAAGAGGAGCTGGGATTTTTAAGGGTTCATTTGAAATGGGCGAAAATTTTAATAACTTATAATTATAATTATAAGCTTGGCTAGCTATAATGATTGTCAAGGTGCGATCATTTTATCAGTCGACGATAGAGACCTGCACCAACTTTTAAATGTATTGACGTCAAGGAGGACAATTAGAACCCATTTTTCCAATCTGTCAAAGCAATATGCATCCTTTTTTTCCAAACTATCATTTTGCTTTAAACTTAGGTTTAACTTCATTGCAAGAAAGTTTTTCAATTTTGTTCAGTTTCTTACTTCTTACTGATACACTAAAAATTTGATATTCTGCAAGCTTCAGGCATGAGAAATCTCGATGATTGGTTACCTGGTGCTTTAGAAATATATCTTCAATACTATTCTAAAGAATTTGTCGCTAAACAGTGGGCAGACCTTTGCGATGTTGCTATCCAGTAAGTTTGTTTCTTGCTAGTCTGCATTTGTATTTGCATTTTAATCCAGTTTTATTTGTCGCTGCTAATTGTCGTGAGGAATCAAGTGCTTCTAGCTGCGCTATCGTTAAAATATAGTGATAGTCAAATATACATCTACATAGTTTTCTTGTTTATTTGAAAGAAAATTGGGAAGGTCGACAATTATTGCTTTTTTCTTCATTACATAGATTAAATCGAGAAAATAATAGAAAAGGAATTGTTTTTGATTGTTTGCAGAGTTTATGAATTATTAGGTGGTCGTTTCCCATCTGATTATATCCTACCAACATTAAAAATACCTGCATTGGTCATCACTGGTGGCATGGATCGATTTTGCGGTGATCCCAAATATTTCCCTACTGTACTTTCAAATTGCAAGTAAGTTTAAATGAAAAATTATTGAAGTAAAGATCTCTTTAAATTTATAATTAAGGTGAATGATATTTTCGATCCATTAGTGAAACTTGTTTTTTGGATTTTATTTTAAAAAAATGCCAGAACCATGCATGCCTTATAAAACATTTGCATTTATTTTTTTCGCATTTCCAGCAGTTTAAATCGGTCTTCATATTCAGTATAAATTCCTTCCCAGTGTTTAGCACTTTCAGAACGGATTGTCACTTGGGTCGTATAATTTGCATATTAGATATTCGTGATGGTTTGCGGAAAAAATTCAGCAATTTTATTAGTGTTTCAGTGATTAATTAATTAGTAATTTTTTCCATACTATAACGATAAATAAATGTTGCTTCAAAACTAACCGCATAATCGCCTCTTTCACCGTACAGTCTAACAATTACTGGAAATCAGATGGAAGATATCTTCTTCTAAAAATTCTCACTATTACTGGTTAGGCTGGCTCCGCTGGCTACAAGGACAAGATGTCCCCAAGCTGCTCGGCTCGACGCCATCGCTACTAGTAATAGAAGCCATTCCTTTTTCCATCGTCTAAGTCCATATATCGCTGGTCCTCCTATACATTCAAAATCTTTTCTGACAGTCAAAATTTATTCAGTATCAGTCCAAGTTTTGACTGGTCCTTCTCGCTTTTGACGCCAGCCATTACAGGGTTTAGCAAGTAATGAAATATGTCAACTGTGGAAAATATGGTGGAAAATATCGGTGAAAAAAATAAAAGTTTGGGTTGCTAATTATTACTAATATTATTTTCTAATGAGGCATTAAATTAGAAGGATCAACCTAATGAGTCGCTTAGATCACTTCGTGTACCGTTTGGCCCGACAAAAATTAGGAGTGTTAGTAAATAATTCAAGCGGTGTTGGAATTGGAATTCCTCACCCTATATTCTATTCGTCTTATTTCCAAATGATTTTCTCTGAAAAATGTAAAAATGTTCCCACTAAAATCCAGCGAAGCGATCCTAACCAGAAGTACTAATTATTTACTTATTCACTAACTTAGTTCAGTTAATCGTTAATAAATTTTATGATTTTGACATCTAGTACAGGTTTCAACTGTTATCAATATTAAACTGGGCTTTAATATTAATATTGGTTGATATAATGATATTAATATTGAAAAATATGGAAAAAAAGAAAAGGGATAAGAAAAGAGATTAAGAGATTTTTTGCTTCCTTGATGTTGATTAAAATCCTAAATTATCATAGTTTTGAGAATTAGCGAAAAGAGATAATAAATTCTCCTAAATTTTGCCAGTTAAAGTCCTCAAAGACTTTGAATTTTTTCAAAAGTTGGTATGAGAAGTGTCAAAACAACTTATTTAGAAAGTTTTAAAAATTGATGAAAAAAAAAGGAATGCACTTAACAAATAGTATGATAAAGCATGTATATATATGAAGCATGAAATAAATGTGGCAAATATATATAAATTTGAGTTGAAAATTTCAGGCTAGAATGTCAATTACTCGGTGGTCACGATTTGCACATAAAATATACACGATGGTTTGTGGAACAAGTCAGAAAATTTATCGAATCTTCCGAGAAACCAAGATCAATTATCAGTTAAAAATTTGAGTTTAAAACTGATCTTCGACTGAAGGTGGATGCTAAATAGATTCCTTTAAATTCTATTTTAATTTGTAATCATTCCAATTTCATAAGGATAATTCAGAAATTTATCTGTTATCAATTATAAAATTATCAATTATCAATTATAATTTATTCTCATAATCTACTGAGTTTAAAGTAATTTTAAGTGCTTTGTACAACTGAAAGTTCGAAATATCACTAAATATCATTATAAAAATTTTGCAAAAAATTTTATTATGCAAAGAATTAATATGAGGATGATTCCTGAGAATTAATTCTATTTAACAAAACCTTCATTGAAATTCTTTCCGCCTAAAAGTACCCGCTTAAAAAAGCAGATGCATAAGTTGCAAAATAGCGGCTCTTATTGGATTCCTTGAAAATCCTCTCTCATCCCTTCCTTATTTGTTTCACAAACTTTGTTATATCGTTCGCCATATACTGGATTCCCCTTAAATTCATTAAACGCATCTTCGTATTTCCTTAATTCCCTTGAAACCTCATTATGCTTTCTTATAACTAATTAGCCCATGTATCAGCTATTTCCACAAATTATTATTCAATTATCCAGTCAAGATTGCTCAGTTGGTTCCCTTTTTTGGCATTTTATAGAATGAAAGCTTAGACTATCTTATATATTTCACCAATATCAACGCATTCTTACAATTTATTTATCGTTATATCGAGAATTGTGATTAATCTGTATTACATCTGTATCTGTATTTGCAAATATTGTGCATGCCAAGACAAACAACAAATTGCGAAAGTTCTGCCTTTCTTGCTGGTTTAACAGTTCAGATTTTCAGACTTGTAATCATTTGCTTATGTCTGTGCTTCCTAATCTGGAAATGCACCACCAAGGATGCGAGTCAGTTCTGTAGGCATTATTTTGTACTTATTTATTATAGAGTTTTCCAACCCACAGACCAATTCTGTGTTACTTTGGAATTCTTCAGCAAAGCACCCATCATCTAATTAGCCGTGTGGCATCTCTTTGCTCCTAAATGTGGCCACATGGAATTTTGCAGGCTGCATTGGAAAGTCCGGGAAATCGGTAAAGGATTGCGATAAATTTGTCAGTACAGCAACTCATGGAGATGTGGCGAATTCCGATTTGTCCGTTAGCCAACAATTACATAATTACATAAATGAAGATCATATGTTCGCATTTTGAAGAGGTAAAGCATAACTGAGAAAGAAAAAGAAGCAGCATTTTATTGCTTTTATAATGCCTAATAATACGTTAATAATAATAATAATAATAATAATAATAATAATAATAATAATAATAATAATAATAATAATAATACGTAACTACTGTTATTTATCAGTTTGAATAGTTCAAAAATTTTTTTCATATCGGCTTTTCATGTTTTTATAATTATGTTGTTTTATAGAGGATATATACCAGTTGACATCTTTTTTTTAGGATATAATTTAAAATCCTCGAATTATAAAGACCATTAGCTTATTCTATCAGTTTTATCCATATTTTCAAGTTATTGCTGCATTCGGCATTGTTGGTCTAAGTAATTTGCTAATTTATAGTATACCAGTTATACCAGTTATTGTTTTCTCAAAAAACGGACCTAGAGCCACGAAATTCGAATGTTTTTTCAAATAACCAATATATTCCAAACTTTATTCTCAGCTCATTCCATTTCGGATTCTGTAAAATTCTCTGGCAAAAAAAGTAAATCATGAGCTTTAAAGACATGGCATCTTTTCCATTCGGTCTATTCGATTCTAATATCTCTTCATTTTTATCATGCTATCTTTGCTATTCTCAAATTCAATCCTTAAAGCGTTATATTTCTTTATTTTTAACATCTCTTTAATCACTTAAATCACTTATATCGCTTTACATGCTCGTTTTCTACTCTTAATACCGTCTTGTGCTTTATTCCACTAATATGCCTTAAGGCCAGCCTTAAACCTTAATAGCTTTTTTGTTTTCAGCATATAAATCCTCCATGCAATGTCCTCCTCAGCAACGCTATCTGCATACTAATTTAGGTTTCGCTAATACTCTCTTGAATCTCTGATATTTCCTTAACAACATTTATTTAAAATTAATATTAAAATTTATATTAATAAGAAAATTTCAATTCCCCTTATGCTGCTATAAATCACGTTTAAAATGCAGTTCTTATAAATGTAGGTTGTCAGGTTTCAGCCCTATAAATATCGAAATTTTTGCTGTGGGCACAAGAATAGCATTCGGGATTTTCATATATAATTTTGCTTTTTTAAGCTTTCATAATTTTTTATGTAGTTATTCGCTTATGTTATTTCCTTTCCTTACATATTACGAGCATTACGTCTATTAATGACGATTAAAATAAGCGTGAATACTTCTAATTTATTTCCGAAATGCTAAAGAATGAAAAGTCGGTTAAACCACAAATACGACAAAATTGAAAAAGTATTTCTTAATGAATATTAATGATGCATTACTGATTGTATCAAAAAATTAAGTCAATTAATCAAGAATTTTTTCAAAGATTTCCTTCATGTTTTTATTATTCATGAAGCAAAATCATTGAATAATTATTAAAACATAAATTTTACTTTTTATTTCAATTTCAAATTATTTGTAATAAAATTTTCTTGCCTTAATTTTTTTTTTTGCATGGAGAATTTGTTAGAAAGGAAGTATCAAGAGTTTATGAATTCATGGCCTTAAAAAAAAATAAAGGGAAAAACTAATTAGAATGCTAAAGATGCAAAAGAATTAATAATTTATAAAAGTTAATAATAGTAACAACAAATAAATAATAATGCTAACAATGATGCAAAATTAGTAATAATAATATTAAATGGTACTGATAATATATTATAATAATAAATAGTAGTAAAACATTAATATCAATTATATTATACATATTAAAAAAATTTATTTGTCTAAAACTGCAAAAGTTGGATTCGCTTTGGGTTGAGAGAATTAAATACGGATATACACTTATAAGGTACTCTTTGGTCTTGTCGATTAGGACTATGCGAAATTCCAACAGCATTAATTACTGGAATAGTCTACCATCTGATTAGCGTACATCTCGCTAAAAATACACTAAACAAAATTATTCATTATGAACAAACAAACGCATCCTCAATCTATTCTCCCAGTGTAACCGTTCTTTTTCATTTTCCCTCATAAATTTTTTTAGCACAATTTTCATTTTTCCTTTTTTTCTAAACATTCCTTTTTTTGCTTTTATGCAAGCATACGGCCCTATTCATCTTGCTCGCTATATGTGAATAAATAAAATAGAAATTGTTATAATAAATAAATTTAAACTGAACCAAATACACCCTCAATTTCCTTACTTCTTTTCAAAATTCTTTATTTTAAATATAGTAGAATTTTGTAAAAAGCTTTTTTCCCTTTCGCGATGTATTTTCTTCAGTTTCTTCAGTCATGCCTTCGAGTTTCTTCATTTTCTCCTCCTTCTAACAGTTTTCGTCATTACTGGTTAGGCCGACTCAGCTGGCTAAACATTTAAACATTTAATTTTATAGTTATTTTTAAATTTTTTATTAATTGAATTATTTTGTATTATTTTTCTCATTTCATTTGTTAATATTTTCTTATCATTCTATGTTTTTTCAGCATTTCTAACATAGATATACAAATTTGTATACCATATCCTAAGCTTGGCTTACTACTTCTCTACGTTGGTTTTGTTCAATTTTAAAGTTGTTGCTTATTATTTGGTAAAGTAATATAGTAAAAATAATCCACTATTAGTTTTTATTTCATTTTTTATGCATTTTGCTCGAAAATCCGTTCTTTTCCATCTTCATTTTCCCTTTTCAAATAATGATTTGTTTATCAGGCTGATCCTAATAGCCTCTAAAATTAAATATCTCGCAATTGAATTTGTGATTAATAACTTTTTTCAATCTGTTATTGTGTTATTTATGTATTGATTTTTAAGATAACGATCAGAATTTCTGGTAAGCGATCAAACAGATTGTAATCAGTAAAGGCTATCAATGTTTAAAGTTCTTATCAGATTTTCGCTCTATATATACTATTACAACGGTTTATTGATGTTTTGATTTAATTTTGACTTGTATATATATATATATATATATATATATATATATAGTTATATATTTTTTATTGTATATTTGTTAGTTTGTTAGAAACATGCTATTACCATCTCTTTTGAAAGTTTTTTTATTGTCTTTATTTAGCACCTCGCAAATGGCTTTAAGCCAGCAGTTTGTGTCAAAATTTTTGGGCAGAATAATTTGATTGATACCAATGTCAATTGATATTAAGTTCGAAATTTTCAAGAAACTTATTGAACGATGAATTAAAAGCCCGGCAAACTATCTTGCATTCTTTTTTCAACTTAAAAATAGTCGAGAAGAATGGTTTTAAAATTAGGAACCCTATGAAATTCTATCTATTCTTATAATAAAAAATAGCAATAAATTGCATGGACTGGAATTTAATGGAATAAGAGATAGAAGATACAACAGCCAAATAATAAAAATTATGTATAATAATCGAATATAGTGGAAAATAATTATAAATTTAATTTCATTAGCTTTCTATTTTTATTTGGCCAACCTTTTTTAACCATTAGGATAATATTCTTTCACCCGAGCACAGAAGTGTAAGCGTAAAATCTCCAACAGGTCGCTTTTAATGATAGGTTTACTTCTAATTTCTTTTTTAATGAAATGACAAATCAAGGAACATGAATCGAATCTATGATGGCTCTAATCGACATCCTGTTTTTCATTGACACAATTTAATAGATGACTGTGAAAATTTAGATATGTTTTTATGAAACCTATTTGCCGAATTTAATTTTAAATGCACTTATTGATGGCTGAATCTAACAACGAGATTTCTAAACATTTATTTGATATCTGCGAGACAATATGAGAATCTTTTACTCCCTTGAAATTTTTTAATAAATTTTATCCATATATTCAAAGTTCGAAGGAATACATATAGCAATCATCATATTTTTTTAATGTGAAATTTTTATAGCTATGGTTGATATCGAAGTTCAACGAAATGAATTAACTAATCATGAAAATGATACCAATAATAACGGCAATTATAATGTTTGCGAGGCAACGATGATAATCGGTGAGGAAAAAATTGGTTATTGCATTTATGGTGTTGGAAATATAAAAATCATTTTTATTTGTGGTGGAGTAGGTAAATATTTATTCATTTTTGTTAGTATAAAAATTTAATTGTTGGGTTGCCAGCAATTGATTCATAAAAGTGCATTGTTCGCTGAAATGGTAAATGTGATCGTATATAGTTTATTGAAGAAAATTTTAGGCTGCTTCAGAAAAGATTTCCCGGAGTTTTTGCTGAGATACTTTGATCCTTCAATTTATACAATTTTTTGTATCGATCCACCCGGTTACGGTACAAGTAGGCCTCCTGACAGGTAATTAATTTAATTTTTTAGGAAATCATTCACACAATTTTTCTACCAAAATTTATAAAAATTGCTTTAATAAAATGGAAATTTAGTTCCTTAGAGAATATAACAAAAGTAACTGAATAATGAGGCCTATTTTTTTGAAGGAAACAGGAGATTAATCGATGCTATAAAGATGCGGTAGTATGCAAAGTACTTATGGAAGTTAGTTTTTACGTATCTTTCTAGTTTATTGAAATATTTTGAAAACCTAACATGGCATTTTCCTATCATATTTCAGAAATTGTGCACAGAATCATATTTTGTACTTGGTTGGAGCGAAGGCACACGAACAGCGGTCCATTTAGCAGATCTTGCTCAAAATCGAATCCATGGTTTGATCCTTTTGGCACCATCGACTAGAATTGATCGAAAAATGGCAGAAATTTTTCGAGGTCTTATCGTTTTCATCTTTATACTCGGGCTCATTTTTTTAATGGAAATTTGCGAGATGTGATTTTGGCGAGAGACTCCGAGATATTTTTTGAGTTCCGCATTGCAATTTTGCACATTCAATTAATTTCAATCAATTTCGTCTTCGAATTTTCTCTAAAACCATAGGATATTGGCTGATTTATGAAATCATGAATAGGGATTCATTACAGGGCTCCGTGATATCGACCTTTGGATTCCAGAAACTCTAAATATATATTTGGAACATTATTCTAAAGAATTTGTTCGGAAACAATGGGCTGATTTATGTGATCATCTGATCCAGCTAATTTTTTTGAAATATCCCATAAATTTTAGTGGTGCTGAATCTCTTAAAACAGCATCTTAGACATTGTATTTCTTGCAACTAATATCTTATTGACAGCTTAGACTTTTGCACTTTAACATTTGATTAACAAATTAATTGCGACTAAAAAACCAGTCAACTTGCATTTCTGTGCCTCTCAGATGCAATGATCCTGTAATGCACCGAACCAGAAGTACTATACTATAAAAAAGTAGAAAGCGATATGCCTGATTATTATAATTATAAAACGAGCCTAACCCAGCGTCGATGGCTCAATAGCAGGATATTTGCCAAGAAGAGTGGAGGTTTTGGGTTCACAGACCCACCACTCTTTGCGTGGCGGCAGTGTCGTATAGCGGAAAAAAGAAACGAGAATAGACCGGCTCAATGGGTTCAATTCAGTGTCGATGATGAAATTCTTCTCCTGGCAGAAGCAAATCTATCCGGATTCATCTATATCGCGAAAGCCCTCCCTGATATACCGTAGCCATGCAAGCCAATGGAGCGAATGTGTCCAGGAATGAGTGCTTTTAAAAATATATAAATAAAAATTTGTGCATCTATTTTATTTCTGGTTTTTTGCGCTCTTACAATATTTATAAAATAAAAATAAAAATAAATATAGATAAATAAAGATTCTGAAAGTTTGGCTCACCCCGATAGCTTGTTGAATAAGTTTTACCAGGGCATCATTTGGCGAAAGAAATAATATAGATAATATAATATAGATCAACCAACCAGATTTTGAAGGAAAGTCTACTTTTTTCCGAAAGTTTCACCTCAGCACTTATGTTCTGAAATATTTAAATAATTGATCCTTACTATCAATGAAAATAATACTGAGATAATAAATAAAAGGAACTTGTCATATATTTTCCAACAAAAATGGAAAAAAATATTTAAAATAAATATTGTAAGAGCACAAAAAACCAGAAATGAAACGGATGAATGATCGTTAACATCATTAAAAAAAAAAGGCTCGCAAACATGAAAGAAATAAACGTTCATATGCTGGTTTAATCGCTATTTTTTGGCACAAACTTCATACAGGAGATGAAAGATACAGCAGTAAAAAACAACACATCGACCTGCAGATAATTTAAAATCGCCTCTGCAATAATTTTAAATATTCATCTTTTTGTGATTATAAAAATTTGAGATTTAATTTTGATTCATTGCTGAGATTCAACGTTTTTTTCACAAAAAGCGCACAATTAAAAGAAAAAATTTCGTTCCCATCTTCTTATCTTATCTAATAAAGGTAGAATGATAGAGTAAATGTAGAGTGGTTTTTGCTTAGATCTCATTTTAGATTATCATTTCGAGTAACGTATCACGATTCGCCCATTCTCGCCGTTAGGAGTAAACCTGCGTTACACAATTGTTTGGATTTCATCCGGCTAAAAGCTGGTAAAGTGAGTCTAAATGTGAATGGTGAGTGCTTAACCATATAATTTTCTTATTACTAATAGGTGTTTGCAGAACAGTAATTTATATTCTTTCTTATCTCCTCCTCTCACTTTCCGTTCTTTCCTTCTGTTCTTTCATCTCCTGATACTGCACTGTTTCCTTATTGGTAATTTTTTTCAGCCACTTGTTTTTTAATCTCTCATTAAATTATCAATTAACCGTCATTTAACCCACGGCACGCAGTTAATACTCGAGGTGTTTCTTATTTTAAGAATTCATTAAACAATAGAAGTGAATAAATTTTTAGTAAAATTTCTTTCACAATAAATAATGAAAAAGTCAAATTTATAGAGTTTATGAGGAATTAGGCGGAAGATTTCCGGCTGACTATTTGTTACCCAAAATTCATAGAGCCGTACTCGTTTTATCAGGAAGCCAGGACAAAATTTGCAACAATAATAGTTATTTTTCTACAACACTGTCTAACTGCAGGTTAATATTATTGTTCCATTATTTATTTATCACTGTTTGCTTTCGCTTAAATTTAAATTTCATTATGAAATTTTCAGAACTGACTGTCATATGCTTGCTGGTCATGATTTTTATCTAAAATATCCAAAATGGTTTGCGGAAAGAGTCCAAAAATTTATCTTCGATGTACAAACGAGCTCGAAATAATTGAATTATACATATGGTGACTATCTAAATCAGCAAAATAATCTTCGGATCAAAATTGAAAATTCTATGCAATATCCATGCTGATGTCGATGAAACTAATATATCACCTACCGATAGACATTGTAAATGATTGAAAATCGGCAACAAATAAACAAACAAATAAAATTCAAATTTTTTTCATTGTTTTTTCTTTTGAAATTGTTTTCGCCGAATTAATCGTTTTTTGCTCTTTTATGAAATAAAATAAAATTCATGAATTGATCGTTAATTGAGCTATTGCGATAAATATAAAAGAGTATGATAGAATGCCTGTAACTTGGCTTATTAAACCTATATAACTTAATAAAATTTTCAATTATTCAAATTCATGTGATGTGTGAATGGCTTTAATCTAATAATATTACTCTAATAATATAGAATAAGATATTTGCGGTTTTTATTTAATAACCTATTTATAACTTATATTTATAATAACTTATTTATTTATTTAATTAATTATTTAAATAATAATTTATTTATTTAATTAATAATTATTTATTTATTTAATTTAATTTATTTATTAAATAAAATTTCTCGCCAAATTTATCTGTATGGGAGAGAAGGTAAGAAAGCCTATGTTGCTCAGAGTTGTCTCCAGCACCTTGTCACAGAAGGAAACCTGCCATTAAAAAACCCTGCGGTTTGGTGATATCGTCGACAGTAATGGAAGCCATTCCTTTTTCCATCGGCTAAGTCCATATATTGCTGGTCCACCTGTACGTTCAAAATCTTTCCGGTCTGTATCAGTCTAGGTCTTGACTGATCCTCCTCGCTTTTGACGCCACTCATCACACGATTTAGCAAGTAACGAAATATGCGTCAACTCCTGTGGTGGAGAACATGCCCTAACCAGCGAAGACGCTCTGATAACATTATTAATAAGGTGATATTTGAGCGAAGATAAATATAGTCATGTGCGAGCTTGACATAAAATCTATCTTAGACTACTCCACTCTCTTCAGCCATCTCTAACGACCATATAGGAAGATCGAGCGAATCGCAGATATATAGACGAGAATTTTTGTTTTATAATAATTTCGCCACGAGTACATTAAGGCTTCTTCAATCGGAAGAAAGCAACTAACTACCATAACTTTTCTAACTACCATTATCCTGGTTGTAATCTCGTCTTTTGCATGGCCATTTGGGATTAGAGTGGATCCAAAGTATTTAAAATTGGGCATTCCCTCAAGTGGCAATGAGTTTATAAAAAAAGGTATTTTATTAGCATCTTATGAGATAAAAATTTTTATTTTATCTACATTGATTTTGAATCCAATTTTCATTGTTGACATATTGTTTAACATTGTTTGCATTTCGTCATAATTGTTAGTAAAAATGATTACATCAGTTTCATATTCAAAATCTGTGATACGATGCTCTGGATGATTTGTACCTCTTGAATGCCGACAAGCGATCTTCATTATCCAATCTATCGTGTAGTTAAGCATTGTAAGGGAGAGGACACAGCCCTGACGGACGACATTTCTTATTTCGGAGAAATCTTTCAGTTCCCCATATACATAGACCTGCGCCAGAGTGAGTTGATAAAATACCTTTATAAGCAGAATGATCTTCTCTAGAGCACCGCTGCATTTTACCCTCCAAAGCGCCGTTCTATCCATTGAATTAAAGGGAGTCGCAAAGTCGATGAAGGACAACGGTGAATTACAGATATTTGAAGCGGTGTTCCAATTCCAACACCCTTTTAAATGTGAATATCTAGTCAGCTCTGGCTTGAATCCAACTTGATTAAGGGAAGTCTACTGAATAAAAAGGAAGCAAAAATTTTCGCTGAAACCTCTGATTCCTCTGATTCCTCGATAATTCTCCCTGTATGTTCTGTCACCCTTCCTGGAAATTCAGAGCAGAGCTTTGCTCCAATCACGTGGTAATATTCCTTTATTCCATGCCAGAAAGTATATTTGTTGAAGATGCGTTATGAAGAACGATGGACAACATTTGTAGAGACCATCTTCTCAGCCATCTTCTCTGGTTTATAGAGGTTATTGTTCTTAAACTTATGGATTATAGAGATTATTTTCTCTTCTGTTGAGGGTTGGCAGTTGCAAACGTATTTTCGCCGAATGGCGAAAAATATTGCAGTATAGTATTCAAGAAGAGGCCGAACGAACCCTTTATATACTACATTTATTATTAACGCTACATTTTAGTAAGAAAAACCTTCAATTTTGCTTTTAAACGAACAAAAAATAAAATTTAGCATCCTTGATGATTTCTTTACCATAGTTCTGCAGTGAAGATCAAAATCGAGATTCATCCACGATTATTCCAAGATGGAAAGTGTATGACACTCTATTGATTACACTACCATTAATAAAAAAATTAGGAAAATCAGAACTTTTAGAATTAATATGAAGAACGCTATACTTTTGAAAAGAAAAGGTAGTTTGTCTGTCATATATCCAGTTCGCTATTCTGTTCAGGTTCTCGTGCAGTGGAAATAGGCTATCTGTTCTATCATGAGAATAATAAATTTTACAATCATCAGCATAAAGATGAATGATAGAATTAGCATCACATTGGTGATATCATTTATATATAATAGAAAAAACAATGGCGCAATACAACTACCTTGGAGAAGGCCAGATTTAACAGGTGTTATGTCAGAAAGAATATTATTGACACATAAAGCTTGGTGACGATCTTTTATGTAATCTGACACCCAGTTATAAAGGGCCCCTGAAATGCCATAACTATTAAGAGTGATCAATATTTTGCCATGGAAAATAGCATCAAAAGCTTTGGTCAAATCTAAGTACACAACTGATACTGTTTTTTCATTGTCAATTGATGCTGACCAATCAGAAAGATTTGTCAATATTTGTGAAGAAGTAGATAGATTTTTTTATACATAAGATAAGAGGATATAAATTATTGGCATCAAGATAAATAAGCAAATCAAGCTTTCGAGTACCTTGCTACTAAGGCATGTTAGGCTAATAGGTCTATAATTAGAGGGATCATAGGTGCTTCCTTTTTTATGAATGGGAGTTATGTGAGACAATTTCCAAATTTTAGGATTAAGGCCAGATTTCATAATATCCTTATAGATTAAAAATAGGGGAAAACTCAGAGAAACTGTACATTTTTTATAAATTATTTGTGGAATATTATCGAGACCAGTTGAAATGGATGACTTAAGGCTACTTAAGGCATCATAAGCAATATTTAAATGTTGCTCTTCTTTATTTGAAAATTAATTATAAACGGCTACAGAAATTTTTTAAGCATTCTTTGTATGCAGAGAGGTCACTTGGCAATTTGGTTAATTTATTTTTATTATAAAGCTTCTTGATACTCGTTTCCTTTTAAATTTTAATTATCAGAGATTCAAAGGAGGAACAAACATAATCATGCGTGATACTATAAAACCGAAGTTTAGTTCTCGATTATCAGTAGAGTCATCCCACTACGTTTTATTAATCAAAAAATACTACTTGGGTTATCAATTAGTAAAAGCTATAGATCATAAAGTATAGATTTTAAACTTTTAAGATAAAAATAAATTACTTCCTATTTTATTAACCTTGTCGAGAATTTTCTCGAAACTATGAATCATTGCTTATAAAAATAAAAATGTCACAACAATGTCGAGAATGTCGAGAATTTTCTCGAAACTATGAATCATTGCTTATAAAAATAAAAAGGTCACTTTTTCTTCTTTTTGAACGTTGTGTGGTAGTGGTTTTTTTTTCTTCTTTTCTTTGCAGTTTTTTTTTAAATTCACGTTTTACCTGAACTATTGTCCCCATATTCAATAAAAATAAAAAATTATTATATTCTTGTGGTGTAACAGCCTTACAAACCCCGTTCAGTCTAAACGAAAAAGTCACAACATATTTGGTGCCACGAGCCGGGAATGTCAGCTATAATAGTTAAAGCTGTTCAACCGGTGAAAGAAAAGGTATTAAGCCTCCTGGAAAAAATCAAAAAAATGGATTTGGAGAAAATGGATCCAATGATGACTCCAGAAGAAATCCAAGAGCAACACGAAACAAGAAAACGAATTATCAACGAGAAAATGATGCGCCTCGAATCATATCTGGAATCTCTCGAAACGACCAATAAAGAGTGGAAGCAGTATATTCAACAAATTTCCTCACCGCAAAAAAGGAGAGAGGAAGAAGAAAAATACGCACAAATGGTGGACGATGAAACAGGTATTTTAAGATTAATTAGTGATAGTAAAGATGTAATAATCACTCTTAAAATGTATGAAAAGGATTCAGAGATGCTCCAACGCTTAGAAAAAAGCACTGAAAAAGGAGTACTGACTCGACAGAACGAAACGATACCATCAGCAAATCACACAACAGTGAATTTGCCCCAGTTACCGTTACCAATATTTGACGGTAACCCAAAGTTATGGAGAGGATTTTGGAGTAGCTTTGATGCTGCAATTCACCTCCAAAACATCCTAGATATCCAAAAATTAAATTATCTTATTGCTTGTTTGAAAGGTGATGCCTTACAAGCTGTAAGGGGATATGATATAACCCCAGAAAATTACAATGTTATCAGAACGGTTTTTGTCGAAAAATTTGGTCAATCATATATAATCAAGAGGTCACTCTATAATGAACTGTACTCGACCAAAAAGAATGATCGGGAATGGAGAGTGACAATTGAAAGTATCGAAAGAATACTGCGACAGCTGGAAGCCATGGGCGAGAACCTGGAGCAGTCAAGTATTGAAATAATAGTTGAAAGCAGACTGCCAGCATGGATTCT